AAAAAAAAAAAAAAAAAAAAAAAAAAAAAAAAAAAAAAAAAAAAAAAAAAAAAAAAAAAAAAAAAAAAAAAAAAAAAAAAAAAAAAAAAAAAAAAAAAAAAAAAAAAAAAAAAAAAAAAAAAAAAAAAAAAAAAAAAAAAAAAAAAAAAAAAAAAAAAAAAAAAAAAAAAAAAAAAAAAAAAAAAAAAAAAAAAAAAAAAAAAAAAAAAAAAAAAAAAAAAAAAAAAAAAAAAAAAAAAAAAAAAAAAAAAAAAAAAAAAAAAAAAAAAAAAAAAAAAAAAAAAAAAAAAAAAAAAAAAAAAAAAAAAAAAAAAAAAAAAAAAAAAAAAAAAAAAAAAAAAAAAAAAAAAAAAAAAAAAAAAAAAAAAAAAAAAAAAAAAAAAAAAAAAAAAAAAAAAAAAAAAAAAAAAAAAAAAAAAAAAAAAAAAAAAAAAAAAAAAAAAAAAAAAAAAAAAAAAAAAAAAAAAAAAAAAAAAAAAAAAAAAAAAAAAAAAAAAAAAAAAAAAAAAAAAAAAAAAAAAAAAAAAAAAAAAAAAAAAAAAAAAAAAAAAAAAAAAAAAAAAAAAAAAAAAAAAAAAAAAAAATAAAAAAAAAAATAAAAAAAAAAAAAAAAAAAAAAAAAAAAAAAAAAAAAAAAAAAAAAAAAAAAAACAAAAAATAAAAAAAAAAAAAAAAAAAAAAAAAAAAAAAAAAAAAAAAAAAAAAAAAAAAAAATAAAAAAAAAAAAAAAAAAAAAAAAAAAAAAAAAAAAAAAAAAAAAAAAAAAAAAAAAAAAAAAAAAAAAAAAAAAAAAAAAAAAAAAAAAAAAAAAAAAAAAAAAAAAAAAAAAAAAAAAAAAAAAAAAAAAAAAAAAAAAAAAAAAAAAAAAAAAAAAAAAAAAAAAAAAAAAAAAAAAAAAAAAAAAAAAAAAAAAAAAAAAAAAAAAAAAAAAAAAAAAAAAAAAACAACCAAAAAAAAACAAAAAAAATCTGGGTGTACAAGTGTCTGTATGGTATCCTGACTACATTCCTTTGGATATATGCCCATGAGTGTATATTGTATGGTGGTTCCATATTTTAGTTCTTTGAGGAACCTCTATACTTCTTTCCACAGTGGTTGTACTAATTTACATTTCCAACAACAGTGTATAAGGGTTCCTTTTCCCTCACATCCTCGCCAGCATTTGTTGTTTGTGTGTTCTTGATGATAGCCATTCTGACTGGAGTGAGGTAAAGTATCAGTGTCATTTTGATTTGCATTTCCTTTATGACCAGGGATGTTGAGCATTTTTTCATGTATTTATTGGTCATTTATACTTCTTTGAATTGTGTTCAGTTTCATTTGCCCACTATTCATTCACTGGGTTGTTAATTCTTTGGGAGATTAGTTTTTGAGCTACCTTTATGTTCTGGTATTAATCCCTGTCAGATGTATAGCTGGCAAAGATTTTCTCCCATTCTGTAGTCTATCTCTTCAGTCCAGTGATTTTCCTTTGTTGTGCAGAAGCCTTTATTTTGATGCCACCATCCCATTTGTCAATTCTTTCTCTTAATTGCCAAGTTATTAGAGTTCCGTTCAGGAAGTTATTGCCTATGTCTGTATGCTCCAGTGTTTTCCCTGTTCTTTCCTGTAGTGGTTCCACAGTTTCAGATCTTACATTAAGGTTTTCGATCCACTTTGAATCGGACACTACATTGTACTTCTCTTAAAGTGTCTGTGACTCCTGGTTTTCTCTCAATGCATAGTGTTGATACAGGTAACATTTAAATGAGTCTTTCTTTGTATATCATTTGTAATTATGTAAAACTAATGTAAGTCAGAGGGAAACCCGTAGGTAGTATCCCTTTTTAGCCTAAGTGAACTGTGTGTTCTGTGAAACCCTACTGTGTAGGGTTTAATGTAATGTAAGCACTGTCTCTCAAAATAAACAGACTCCTGTTTTGTTATCCTCATAGCAAATTGTGGATAGAGCTACTGTCATACACATCTTATATACAAGGAAATAGAAAACATGATAATATTAATGAAATATGACCAACTCTATTAAGGAATCACTAACTAAGAAAAAAAGAAATACATATTTGAATTAAATCACTGTATAAGAGTACAAAATTTTAACTCAAGTACAGTTATTATTAAGTGTCTTCTTTTATGTTTTTCGTGGAAGTATATACATACTTTAAAAAAGTCAATTTTTTTCCTCTACAATCCATCTAAAAATGGTTTTCCTTTTGGAGCTTAGAGTAGCCATAAAGTTAGAATTCTGAGAAGATGGTTATACCATAACTTATGTGTGAATGGTAACTGAGTCTTTTGGCTGAGCCTGAGGGCCTTCCAAAGGGTTACAAGTTTGTACCTTTGTTGTAGCTGCCATCATGGTGCAGGGACATTTCGGTGGATGTGAAAGCAGTCATTTCTCTGTTTCGTCCCCATTTCACCTTTGCCTTCCTATTAGTACTCATGAGGAAATTGATGGCTTTTATTTCCAGCCATGGCATTCAATAAGTATGTAAGTTTCATGGAATAAAGATTATAAAAGTTATTTATAATAATCTTGATGCTTAATGCTTTAGAAAATGTGGACATTTCATTTTCAGGAACTTACACAGATGTAGGTGATTTGCATTAGAAAATAAAAGCGATCCTCCTTTTACACTCTGATTTAGTGCTCTCACTTTAATTTTTTTTCTTGCAGAAGGCTCTGGCCTGTCAGATAGTTTATCAAACCAGCCAAATCTCCATGGCCCTTTTCTCGACATGAAATTATGGGAAGTAAAGACAAAGTTACTCATTTTGTATTTGTACTCCACAGAATGACAACCACCATGAAAGCAGTCGTCAGTCCTTGCTTTTGCTTTTGTGTATTTCCTAACAGTGTCACTTGATTCCAGTCACCATTTTTAGTTAAACCTCTTCCTTTTGTCTTTATTATAGGCTATTTTTATGAAAAGAAAAGAAAGAATGATTCCTGTAAGGTAGACCATTAAGTTTCTGTCTTCTTTCTTTCTCCAGCACCAGGTGCATGTCCTCTGTGAGGCACAAGATGTCTTTTCTCAGTGTATCACCAGGGATTATTAATCTCTTAGAAGGAGGAAGGCTGTCTGATGATGATCAAATATTTTTAGCTTGTCTCTGGACTTGTTTATCACTTTAAAATAAAACAGCATAGTAGTAAGAGTATTCTTCCTTGCCCAGCACCTCACACCTGTAATCCTAGCTACTTAGGCGTCAGGGATCAGGAGGATCACAGTTCGAAGCCAGCCTGGGCAAACACTTTGTGAGACCCTATCTCGAAAAAACCCTTCACAAAAATAGGGCTGGTGGAGAGGCTCAAAATGAAGGCCCTGAGTTCAGCCCCAGTACCACAAAAAAAAAAGGAAAAAAAAAGAATCTGGAGTATCTTTACACTTGAATAAAATTATTTATTTATAAATCTCTACCTCATAATTTAAATGAAGGGGTTATATTAGACTTTCCATAATAATGAGGAAAAATTCCTGATAACTATCCACTAGATGTTTTAGTTTTAATAACATAGGGACAGGTAAATCATATCTGTGAACAATACTGAATAAACCCAAGAACGTACATAGCCCTGTTTCTTGTAGGGCTCATAGCCAACCTTTTCTGACCCTCTTAGCAGAATTCTTTTTTTAATGTTCCAAAGCTCTATAATTATGATTAACACATTGCTTAGTGGTTTCATGGTCAAATTAAATTCATTACCTTTTGTTGAAATGAAATTTGTGAGTTTTTTTGATCATGGCATTTTTACTTCATTATTTTTTCCAGAAAGAACTAGAGAAACAGAAGAGAATTAAGAGGAACCAAGAATTGGAAACAGTGGCCAAAGAACATTATAAGATGGTCTTGCTAAGAAATAAAGGTCTGGAGCCTTGGAAGAGATTGAGAATGCAAAGTAAACAAAATATCCAGGTGCACTATCCTGCTATTACCCCCCAAATTAGAAAATGGGCCATTTCAAATAGCACAAATACACAATTAGTCTTTTGAAGAGAGGTGATTTAAAAGCCAGAAAGATAAGTGATTTGAGTATGTATATTTCTTTGTTTTGGATAAGAGTTTAGATTTATTCTTCTAAGAACTTTTGTACTTTAACAGGTTGGAAAAACCTAATTTTTTTTTTATTGTAGACCTCTAAGGTAACATGAATAGAGGATTCTCTGAATTTTAGCAGAGTTTGAGGTTATAAAGTATAGCAGTCAGGTTTCTGCTGGGATGAAGTTATATAACAGACAACCCCAAATATGAATGTCTTACAGCTCAAGTATGTATTTATCACTTAGCATATGTGCAGGCCAGTGGTCGTTTGGGTTCATTCTCCCCTCAAGCCTCATTCTGGTTCCAGCTGCTACTCACAGCATGCCACGTATATCACTTGGCATGAATAAAAGACCAAACAAAATTATGTAAACCCATATGAAACCACTGTCCACTAATATTTCACTGGATAAAGAAAATCAAAGGGTCAAGCTCAAAGTCACTGAGGACGGGAAGGAGGCGCTGTCTACCAAACGCCATTGAAACTTATGACATTTCCCAAACAAATTGAGGCAGCACATAGAACAGGGCATTCAAGAAAGTGGTAAGAAGTTCAAAGTATATGAAATGTTACCTTGCCAGGCTGGGATGTTCCACAGAGCACCCTTGTGATGGTCATTTTGGCCAATAATTATGTTTATAAGGAGATTTGCTTAGACCAATCATATTCACAGTACTGGATCACAAGACAAGTCTTAGGAAAATGTGTCCTTGTCTGAAAAGGACTAAGAGGAGAAGGGTTTCTCCTGTCTCTTGAAAGAATGTAACAGTTACTTTTTAAAAAATCTATAATTCTGAGTTGTGTGTTTATTTTGATAGGATGATACTCAGCCTTTTAAGTTGGTAAGACATTAAATTATTCATCATGTTATTTTTCTATCAATAGTTTTGTGGTGTATTGATAATACCTAAATTTCAGTGCTGGTGACAGTTCATTCTACAAAACTAATTGAAACTATTGGCATTTCCTCAATTAGACAGTGGTTAAGTACATAATAAAGAGAGGTCTGGTATGGAGTTGCTGTCCAAGTCCAAAAGAGCAAAGCAGGAATGTTGCCAGCCACACACTCCAAAATGCCGTAGAACTGAAGCGATGGTGTTGGAAGTTCATTATTCCGTTTCCATAACCAGCCAGTTGCTGTGGTCTTCATGAGTCAGCCTTGAGAACTGCGCCATGGGAATCTAGCCTTTGTACAACGGGGTCTGTAGTCAAAGCTTTTAGGACATAGTCTGTATCGACCTTAAGACTAATCTTCTCTAGTAGCTGCTTAAATGTGGAATATAATAGCTATAGATTCATTTGCCAAGATGGTGTACGTTTCCTTAAATGATTTAAAATTTAAGAAGTAATTTTCTCTTTTCCTTCAAAAAATTATCCAGGTGGCAGAAGAACATCACTCTTTGGCTCTACAGAAGAAAAGCCTGCTGACCTGGTTCCAGTATAGTCAGGAAAGTCTGGTTAGGAAGATGACCCAGGCTGACCAGTTTTATACCCAACTGTTGCTCAGGAGAATCTTCAAGGGCTGGCTACAGGTAAGGCCGCAGTAAGGCGACTGTAAATCCATCTCACTGCTCAATTCTCATAAGAAATTGAAGGAGCTCTGGAATGCCTGAGGACATTACGCCTTTTTTTCCAAGAACAATAAGTAATGAATCTAATTCATAGCTTTGAAATGAATTTGAAAATGTCAGATCGATTTTTATTAGTATGAAATCTTAAGCACATCTCTTCACATAAAGTATATGTGTATAAACTGTAATGTATCATTTTATCTGCTTTTGTTTTTGTACTGGCTTATTAGGGTTTTGTTTTGTTTCATTTTTGGTACTGGGGTTTGAACTCAGAGTCTCACCGCTTGCTGGGTAGGTGCTCTACCACTTGAGCCATGCTCCCAGCCCTTTTTACAGTTAGGGTCTTGCACTTTTTGCCTGGTCCTGGACTAGGACAGTGATGCTCCTACCTACCCTTCCTGCATAGCTGGGATCACAGGTGTGTACCACATGCCTTGGCTCACTTCTTATTTTTTCTCATAGTGCTCAAGTGACTTCAATAGAAACCTCAATTTTATACCTGTTTCTACCCCTCTGGTTCTGTTGTTTTTATAAAACATTACAGGGGATATTATCTTGGCTACCATGTATCCTTTTCTCTTTATGCCTCCAGTATCCGTTGTTCCTTTGTTTTGTATGTTTCTATTTCAATTCTCTCCTTTGTACTGCTTATTTGCTCTCATGGTGTGCTGATATTTGATCATTTTCAGTCCCTTTCTCACTCTCAGTATACAACTGACCTGGAGGAAGAAGTAAGAAAACTTTGTGTACATTTCCTTCAGAAGAAGATTTTTGGAGCCTGGCTTACCATGGTCAGGGAGGCGACGATCAATTCTCAGAGCAAGCATAAGATTGCAGCGGAGCATTGTGACAGGTGAGCTTTTGATCTCTGAGGAAACTCAGACTCACTGACTTCTCAAGTGCTCTGCAATATATTCTGGAACGTATCTGAAAAGATGAAGGAGAGGCTAGGAGAGCAAGGCCTCAGAGACAGGAGGCAGGGTGGTGGGAGTCCCAGCTTACCCATAAACCTCCTGAGACTCCAGGGTTCCCACATATAAAATGAGGAGGTGAGGAGGTGGCCTGCCCTGTCCACCTCACAGAGACTGGCAAGAGGATCAAATATGTGAAACACCCAAACTAATACCTAAGCAAAGTAGTACTGTTTTCTTTGTTAGTCATATAGTTGTTTTTAATTCTTAACATTTCTTGTGAAATATAACACAAATATAGAAAAGTGCTTAAAACGGCACAAATATAGTTTAAAGAATTTAAGGTAGACACCCGTGTCATCACAACTGAGGTTGTGAAGTAGAACATTGCTCCTTCCCAACAACAAGTCCCCACTGCAGGTAAACTGATCTCCTGACTGTACCATGAACACTTCCTTGCTTTTGTTTCACTTTTCCCTCTCAAGCAGGCAGCTTTCAATTCCAGAGCTTAGTTTTGCCTGGTTTTGAGCTTTGCTTATATTTAATCATACTGTATGCCACATTAATATTTAAAATTGTTATATCTTATTTAATCCAGTGTCTTTGGGAAATAAGGATGTTGTATAAAGAAAAGTTTTTTGTTTTCTATCAAACAGGAACATTCTGAATGTCATTATGCATATCCCTTGAGAGTAAACACATAATCTATCCTTTTTTGGTGACTTGGCATCATCCCTTGTGAACGAACCACAGTTAATATGGATGTCTTCAGTGATGTTTCCAGGTTGTGAGATGTGATAGCTATTGTGACATGTACAAGTGTCCTTTCCTTACTACCCTCACATTCAGCTTTCATTTGTGTGTATGTGTGTATGCATCTCTGCTTTTTTTGTGTGTGTGTTTTTTTTTTCCTTTTTCTTTTATTATTCATATGTGCATACAAGGCTTGGTTCATTTCTCCCCCCTGCCCCCACCCCCTTCCTTACCACCCTGTCCACCCCCTCCCTCTCCCCCCCCAATACCCAGCAGAAACTATTTTGCCCTTATTTCTAATTTTGTTGTAGAGAGCATCTCTGCTCTTTATATAATAGTTTTCTTATCTTGTTACACTAGGATGCCCGCTACTAGAAAAAAAACTGCTCATCCTTGTTTAATTTGTAGGTAGTAGAAATCGGTGGGCTGCAAACAGATGAGCAAATTGATTTTAATTTTGTCTAAAATAGATATTCAATAAATGAGTGTATTCTCAGGACTTACCTTTGAATTATATGCTGCAGCTTTAAAGGCTAGGACTCAATATACATGTGACCCTGGACAAATAACCTTTTGAGGCTCTCTGTTCCTCTTTTATAAAATGAGGATAACAGCAGAACCTGTTTTTGACTTAAACAATATTGTAAATATTCTTAATCCACAGCTAGCTTAGCCCAGAAGAAGAGTTAATTTGTTTTGAGTTGAGCATCATTGTGACTGCATTTTTATCAAGCATCCTTTTCACTGCCTTTGTTTCTTTGTTCTCAGCCATTATATACAGGCTGACATTCATTTCAGGACTTCACACAAACCATCTCATCTGATCACAGTGTCACCCAGGGGTGGGGGCAGACGCCATCATTTACACTTTCAGATAAAAAACCAAGTAGGTGAATTGCCCAACTTAATAGATAGCACATGGTGGCTCTCTGGACTCCATACCAGGTTTTCTGACTTCAAAACATCCTCTTCTTCTTTTTTAATTAGTGTATATTAATTATAGAAAGGGGTTTCATTTGATATTTCCAAAGTACTTCAATCATATACTTACTCCCAAATATGTCCCCACTTTGCATTCATGTTATTTATATTATATATATATATATATATATATTTTAGGTCTAGATTGCACAGATGAGAGGACATGTGATATTTGTCTTTCTTTAGTCTGGCTTATATTGCTTAACATGATGGTCTCCAGTTCCATCCATTTCCTACATACAACATAATTTCATTCTTCATTATGGCTGTATAATACTACCTCATGTATATATACCACATTTTCTTAATCTGTTCATCAGTTGTGAGGGACATAGGCCAATTCCATAGCTTGGCTATTGTGAATAGTGCTGTTATAAATATGGGTGTCCCAATGGTGTATAATTCTATTGTATGTTGACTTAAATTCCTTTGGATATATATCCATGAGTGGCATAGCAGATCATAGAGTATTCTTTATAGTTTTTTGAGGAGCCTCCATACTGCTTCCAGTTTTACATGCCCACCAACAGTGTGTAAGGCTTCCTTCCTCCACCACACATCACCAGCATTTTTAAAAAATATCATCCTCTTGATACATCAGTCTTCCCCCATTTTCCTGATTCACCATCATTTGTAAGCTGTAAATATATAGTTAAGATAGTGTTCCTTTTCAGGGGAAGTTATGAAAATCAGCACAGAACCCACGTAATTGATAAGAAATGAATTCTCAGCCAATATCTACTTGATATAAAAGCGTCACTGTGACTGTCTCTTCCTGCTCTGCTCTTTGTCCATGTGCTCAAAGCTCACTTCAGCTTCCAGACTTTCACATGCCCTGGTCTCTTCTCATCATTCAGTTCTGCTCTAGTGTCCCCTCCTGAAAAGCCGACTTGGGTTGCTGTCCTATTCTTTCCCACAGGGCAGAGACTTTGGTAAGGTAGAATAGTAGGGCTAAAATGTAGAAGCCAGAAAACTGGAGTGTAACCAGGAGTGGGAGGTAGGGTGGAGGACTGGGGAAGGGAACTTTGGGTGAGTACAGGAAGCTGTAATGGTAGACTGAATGGATAAAAAATTTGTAAGCTATTTAAAGTATTATTTCCACCAATAAAACAACATTATACAAAACAAACCAACAGCTATAAATTAATGAGGGTTGAGATGCATTTTAGGGCTTAAGAGGCTCTCTTCCTTGTGAAAATCAACTTGTGTTTTTGTTTCAACAACGTAACTGTGTTTGTGATTCCTCAGACACACTATGCTACTCTTGCCTCTTTGCCTTTGTTCAAGACATTGCCCTCCCTGACTAAATTCACTTCAGGCATCACTTCTCACCCCCAAATTGGGCAGCCTCTGTGCTTCCCTCCACACTCTCCCTGTCCAGTTTAACTGCTTCCTTGGCAAGAGACTGGGTTCACTCCACATCCCTAGTATTCAGATGGAGAGGTATTAAGAAGCCCTCAAAGACCACACATGCTTCCCTGAGACATAAGAAACACTCAGCTTTCAACAGCCCTCCCTCCAGTAACTATGTTTCAAACTTGATGTTAAGGTACTTTTATTTTAACTGAAATCCAGGTTTGTTTTTGTTGTCGGAAGTGAGTTACCAGCAGGCTTTTAAAACATGGCTAAAGCACAGGGTCCTCGATGTCTATATCTGTGTCACATTCTGCATGTGATTTTTAGCATCTTTTGCAGCTGCCTGAGTCCTTGTTGGTATTGCTAGTCCTGGTTGGGCACCATGAGCAGCTGTGGTCCGACCAACTAAGGAGTATGTCTCATAGTCTGCGTTATCAGCAGTGGGTGCTCTGCTCAGATGTCCCCTCCTCAGAGAGGCTTTCCCTGACCATCTGATCAAAAATGTAAACCACTGCCCTTTCAGACACAGTTTATTTTACTTCATAGCATCACACACTGTCTGGATCCCAGTTGTGATCTCCATACCTTGTACATAATGTTTATTCACATGAAAATTCTTTTTATAGTTTTTAACATCCTTCCTCTGGAAAGCCTACTTTTCCTTAGTATTGCACTTTTTCTCCTCCTCTCTCTCCTCAAAGGAAGACTCTCAGCATCACATTTCAGACATGGAAGAAGTTCATAAAATTTATGACAGAGGAAAGAGTGAAAGAAGAAAGGCAGAGCAGCTCCGCAGGAAGGTCGCTGAAATTCTTCCAGACTTCCGCCACTGTGATTGTTAGATGCTTCAGCCCAAGTCAGATGAGTCTTTGGTGTGCCTGCACACAAAACTGCATTGATTAGGAAGGGAATCTTAGTTGGTACAGAATGTGTGTGTGTTATCTCCACTCTCCCACATACATACCTGTACCTGGTCTATTTCTGAGATACTTCTTGGACCAGAGGAATTATTTGGGAATTTGTACTTCATCCTTTGATTTCTCCTGGCTTGCTAGTCATTCATAGCACCTTATCACAGTGGGATCATCCAAAGGAATAGTCTAGTAGTTTCAAATATCCTATGTATTTTTAGTTGTAGTAAACTTCAAAAAGGACAAGTGTTTGCCTGCCCAAGCTTGTGAGGGAAAATGTGATCTTATGGCTTGTAAGTTTTAATTAAAAATAGAAACAAAACATGGGGGTACTTAAGAAAGGAGGCATGGTGATAAGAGTTCTAGTACCTCAACATCAGTGACAAGCTCCCACCACACCCATTGCTTTTGAATCACATTTCAAAAGGTACTCTACACTGCTGCAGCAGAAGGCAACACCTGATTTCAGGGAAACTAGGGCACCAGAGATGCTGTACCTAATTAAGCATGGAGGAATTTCCAAACACTAGTAATAACTCTATCAAGGGCAGCCCAGTCATTCATTAGAATCTCCTGCTCCCATTTGCAACTTCTAAGTAATCCACTTGATTTGTCCTCTAATCCTCAGACCAGTTTGATCTAGATATTGAGATACTTATTTTAAAATGAGTTCAAAGAATATTTTCATCTTTAAGGTGCTCTCTTCTGTGAATTGTTTAGGAGAATTACCTGCTAGGAAAAGAATTTTTTATTGTAACAAATTCAAATAGTCCATAAATACAGTAAAACAAAAAAGATAGTTATAGGCCTGAGGTAACTATGATTTGGTGTTGGAAGTTTGAATTAGTAAAATAATATTCTGTGGTCCTTCAAGTAAATATGCTTGGTCCTATCTCATGCTTCCTAAGATTTCCAGTTCTACCTGCAAAATGACTTACATTCTTTGTTCATGAAAGATGTGTAAGGGTTCACTACACAAAGCACCCCAAACTGAACAGTGGACTCTTCTACAGTCCACCCCCACCTTTCCCTTTAATTTCATTGTACAGTTATCTAAAACCTCAAGTGTTTTCAAGACTAAGGGCTGTAATCTCATTCCCTTTAAACCACTGTTTATACTAGATTATAGCAATTTACAGAATATTGGCTGATATTCACATTTAAAAACCAGTACTAATTTTAAGCCAACCCTATATATAAGGGTGAATTCCTTAAGTAAACATGTCAGGAGCCTCAATAAATCCCGTAAATTTTAAATTTTCTTTCTTAAACTTTATTTTTGCTTCACCTGATGCATCAGACCAGAAATCGAGTCTTTCACAGTCCATGCTTAGTCAGCCAGGCTTACCTATTTATAGAACCTTCTAAAGCGATATAAGGGGCCAGGTACACTAGTCTACATCTGTGATCCCAGCTACACGGGAGCAGAGATTGGGAGGATTGCTATTCAAAGCCAGCACAGGGCATAAAGTTATTGAGACTCCCCCCACCTCAACAAATAAGCTGGTGTGGTTCTGCATGCCTGTGGTCCCAGCTATGTGGGAGGCCATACATAGGAGACTCATGGTACAAGGCCAGCCTGGGGAAAAGAATGAGCAGGCCTATCCAAAAAATAACTAAAGCAAAGAAGGGCTGTGGGCATGGCAAGTGGTGGAGCACCTGCCCAGCAAGTGTGAGGCCCTGAACTCACATCCCAGTACTGCAAAAGGAAAAAAAAGTAAAGAAAAATCATCTTGTTGCTGGGCTATTGTGAAGTTATGATTGGAAGTGCCACTAACATAATGCCCAAATAGGGAATATCCTGATCTATAAAACTGGAAAAATATCCATCGGGAAAGTGACAGTTCAGGACTGGGTACAGGTCCACAGGATGTACATCTAAGCAGCAAGGAGGCAGCACACTACCACGCTGGGTTTTAAGCAAAAGACACACCAAGGAACACCATTTTCCTTAAAGAAAGCACTTTATTTTTCATTTAAACAACTTGACCACAGGACATTACTTTACACAAATGGCAGTAATTTGTAAAATCTCCATTTAAAAGGCCTTGTGTCTGAGTCTGAGGTGGTAAGAGGATATCAGTACAAGTATAAAAACAGTGCAAAATGTTTAGTCCACAGCCTCCAGCTTGGCTTCAGAAATCACCTGTAATGTTGTTGGGCCTATTATGTCAAATATTGAATTTAATATTAAATCAATATTTTTGGGCTCCCTTCAGTCTAACATCAGACCCAAAAACATAATCAAATGAAAAGCCTTCACAACTCAAACCATCAAATCACCTAGACCACAGGATCATGAGTTGAGTCTGCACGCTCTGTAAAATGACATCTTGTCAGTGGCTCCACATGCAGAATTAGAGAATTTTAGTCAATAATTAGAATAGATTAGCTCTGATTTTAAAGCTTTGCCTTTTAAATATGAATTTCTAAAGACAAAAAGTGCCATTGGGAAGACTAGTGTATTAAGTCACAAGACTAACTTGGAAACAGCCACAACCTCTATGAAATCGGTCTCCTTTGCAGTTCAGTCTTTGGCTTGCTGCTGCTGATGCAATGAAATGCTTAGTCCCAGCTGAAATCTGGGTAACGATCCATTAGCAACAGGAGTAAATTTAGCTGATTCTGCAAAAAGTTAGTATTCATCACAGCAAACATCCACAAGAAGACACTGAATTTTATTCAGTATTAAGTTTAGCATGGCTTTCATTCTCCTCTGCATTGCCTTCTGTGTTTAATATACTTGTCAAACTGCTGCTGAGAAAACCAGATTCCGAACAGGAGATTTAAGCAGAAGTCACTTATTGTCCATTGCTTGTTTGAGGAAATTCTCCTTTTCAAAATTCAGGGTACCAAAATATGGCTAAAATGAAGTTAAGTCACATAAACCTACTTAACCCACTTTAAAGAGACCCTAAGTCTCACAAAATACTAACTTTTAAATAGCCTGGTTAAAACTAGATGTATTTTTCCTTCTATTACTTGAGCTTTATAATAAAAAGCTAATGTCTTACCCAAAGGAAGTAAGTCTGTTAAGCAATGATCAGTATTACGTAAAATCTTACTATGTGTTTTCTGGCAGTGGAAGATTTTAGTATAGAAAATTTTCTCTTGCTAAAAAGATCAAAAGTACCATGGACTACTGCGCAAAATAAAGTTTTAGCAATCTCTTTTTCAGGCAAATAGTACAATGGAAGACACAATCACTTCATTCACCAAAGGAAAATACTTGGGAAGCAAAGATTTACATGTGTCTGAGGTGAAACCAGCAGCATGTTGTCCTGAAAACACATTTAAGCCTGTGCTTTAGCCACGTTACAGTGACCTAACCTACCGAACAGGCATCGTTAATGGCCTCTTCATGTCAGGAGCACCACGTTAAAACCACAGAGACCCTCGCGTATGTCCTAAGAAACATTTCAAATATTGAAGGATTTTCTCCTTTCAGCCAATCCTGGTCCTTAATGTTTTAAAAATCATTCAAAAGGACCCATTCCTTTTCCCCAGGAAAGTATACATGGTGGGAAAATAATGGTAAGTGGAAAGGACATAACAGGTTATTAAGCGCCACGTCCAAGTGCTTCTAACAGAGGCTGAAGAGTGGGGAGAGAAGGGATCTGCTTGTTTAGAATCACATGATGGGGGAACAGTCCTGTTCCCATGGCCAAGAGACTGGTTTATAAATTTACAGGCAATTCTTCACTGTCTGGGACAACCCATTCACAGAGCCTTTGCCCTCTGGAGAAAACCAAGGCCTGTAACAAAAATCTCTCAAATAGCTCCACATCATAAAAGGCCTGAAAGCCTAGGACTATAAAGCAAGGATGCCCAGCCCTCCACATAGATAACCCCTTTGCAGCTCTTTTAGGCAGAAACACTGCAGAAGGCCATTATGACATGGTCAAACCAACAATCCTCCTACAGGTTTGAGCTTCCTGACAAGTTCTCATGGAACTTAAAACAAGCCCCCTAATTCCAGTAAGCAAGGAGTCTCTGTCCAAGTGAGGGAAACTGACCTGACTCATCCAGGTGATCATTAACGGTGAGTTGTTAACAATGAAAGATGGTGATCCTTCCAAATTCTCCCCGATGACTTTGGTCTTTTTCTACAACTCATCTTCATCCCATCACATTTGGATTGTTGTGAAAGATTTAGCAATCTACAATTACTGACTAATGTTTCTATGAATTTTATTATCTAGTGCTAGACAGTCAGAGTTAGTTATATAGCTGGCATTCAAGAGACATGAAAAACTACCTATTTCTGCCTACATATACTGTCCTTGACATCATTACCATCTCTCTTATCTACAACCGACACAGCAAGAAATGCACTATATCGGAACCAACTTTAATTCCAATGAATATATGACTCTGGGCCAGGGAGAGGGCATCGGTGTAGAAACCACAGCATCTGCTAACATCCCCTGGCTTGTACTTTGGCTCGTCCCAGTGGAATACAGAGCCTATCACTCATTAAACAATTCATCTCTGGGGAGAGCAATGACAAGCCTGAATATGTGGCAGCTGTCTTAAGGACAGCCAGGATTAATGGCAAGAGATGGTGCTAACTGCAGAGGGCAGAAATGCAGGAAGTAGAAGTATTTCTTCTCAACGTTTATAAATCTGTTGCTAAAGCAGCATGCACAGAATGATGGGAAAAGCTAGCAATATTTTCTCTATATTATGCAATAGGCCAAAGCAAATTTAAGAACTTTGGGATTCTTAAATTCTTACATCTTTGGAATTGCAGGACAGTACATAAAACCAAACACTTCAAGAGGGTATTTTTCCTCCATCTGAATCTCCCTCCTCTTAGTTCTATGGCAGAATGATCCATTCTATAGAAATACTAATCTTTCATCATTTTCAGTCTTGACATGATTAAAGAAGCAATGTGTTATTTGGGGAAAAGCAAAGGAAGACCATTAACCCATTAATTACTGGAAACCACATATACCCTGTTTTTTTGTTTTTTTTTCTCTCCTGGTGAGATAGTTTTGAGTGGGGAAGGGTGAATGGGAAGCAATGGGCAAGTCAAGTAGACAGGTGTCAATCAACTCCTCAGAGAAAGTTCAGCCACAAGACTGAGTTTTATAATGTAGCACTATAAACTGACAGCATTTGAAATGTTTACATGAACAACAACAAAGAAAATTCAAGCCCTTGATATTAATCAGCCAGACTACCCAGGAAAGAGAGCAAAATGTTCACATGGGAGTGTCTGTTCCTCTTCAGCCACTACCACAAGTGTGCTAGCACCTTACCAGGTAAAACATGGACAGAGGAGAGAAAACGTCAATGCCTAGCAGAGTCAGTCACAGTAAATCCAAAAGCACATTCAAAAAAAAAAAAAGTAAGAACTCATCACTTAAGCTCATGACCACTACACACTATAGTGATTATTCTTATCATTATCAACTGTCCTTTGAAGATCAGATGACAAGCATCAATCCATCTGGTCATCTCCTACCCTGTGTGAGTAGTTAACGTATAAGACTTAATAAGGAGAAATTCCTGTAACTGTACAACATGGCATACGCTGAAAACTGATTACCCTATTATTGGCCTGAATATTCTGACCTACAAACATTTTTATTCAGTCTTGGGATTCTCCTAACACTACTTCATACCTCCAGGTGCTTGAGTTGTTTTGTGGTGCTGTCCACATCCCTTATCCCTCAACTGACCCTCTGAGGTAGCCAGGGCAGGTAGTGGTACCCCACGTTACAGGTGAACCTGAGACTTGGGAAAGTGACTCTACCAAAGGTCACATGGCTATTAAGAATTGAAAGAGGGACTAGAAACTATCCTAATCCAAAACTCTTTTCCCCCATACAAATGGACAGGAATTGCTTCTATCAATTTGTGCATTAGCAATCCACATCCTTTTCAACTTCTGGTGGCTGAGTCAATTAAGAAAGTGACTGGAAAGAAATGGCTCTACTTTTACTGCTTCAATAGAAGAATCTCTTAAGTTATGAAGTCAGAAAAATTAACTTCAGTCCAGTCCCCAAACCTGAGCATGGCCCTACAATGCCTTTAAGAAACGGGGGAGAAATGAACATCCTCTGGACACTGAAGTGTACGATGGAAAGGAACAGAGGAAGGAGCCACCCCTCAGCCATGCAGAAGGCACTTCAGACAATGTCCTCGGCAGGGTGGGGGAATGGGTGTGTGCCCAGGGTAGAGAACTGGTGCCAGTTCCGCAGGAAGCCCCTGTTGTACTGGCCCGTGTCCACAATGAGCCCGCAGAGAAGGCGGCGCCCAGTCTTCTGCCGGAGGGCCTGCTGGACTTCCCTCTCGGTCACATTGTAGCTGATGTTTATCAGCTGGATCAGGAAGATATAGGCCATGCCCGCTGTGATGATCACAGAGTACCACACACAGGTGAAGGACAGAGCCGAGCTGGAAGGGGGAAAAGGCCAGTCAGGGAAGCTGTCATTTTTGTCACATTCAGAAACCAGACTGACATGTCATACACTTTTTACTTATTATTAAGGCCTCTGGGCATCTTCTCCAATCCTCACATCTTAATATGCTTAGAACACCGATAACCAGCTTCACTTATGAGAAGTAAAATGTCCTATTTTAGTTTTTAAAACTAAAAGATGCAGTAGGTGCCTCTTTTTCTAGAATGCCATACAAGAATAGCAACACTTTTGTTGTTGCTTCACACTTTGTGTCCTCCATGTGACCAGCACAGCACCTCACACAATGGCATTCAACATCATTTGTTCAATGATTAATTCCTAAACTGTATAAAGTCATGAGAAGACGAAGGCCAGGAGATTGCCGTAAATGTCTTCTACAAAGCTACCCTACCTACAAACAGGGCTAATGTGATTCATCACCATTCTTTCTCTACTTATAAGATATGCAGAGGCCATTTCACACCTGGTTTCCTAAAGCCAAATGGACTCACAGAGGACAGGAAAGCTCCCTCCAGGCTCCTTCTGAGACTGTATATGTGTATGTGTGGTGGTGGGGGAGGTGCTGCTTAGCTCAATCAATGAATATTGATTATGTTCATTCAAACATTCATAAGTGAAGAGTTAGTTGCAAATAAATTCACACAGAATCTTTATTTGTAAAGCTGAAAAAGACCTTGAAGATTATGGAATCCAAGATCCTCAACAACAGGATTTAAGTCACCCCACAGAGCACAGAGACATGCTCTGCTTTAGGACATTTAGCACTCACAGTGTCAGTCAAGAATTTCACAACTGGACTCTCCACATGTCTAGAGAGGGAACGTACCCTGGAGAGGAGAACTAAGCTATTTTAATAATGCCCACAAATGTCCCCATCTAGAATGGCAATGGGGAGCACTGTCTGCAGACTTACTAATAAAACAAATGCTGCGGAGGGGTAACAGGCAGAGAAAGCAGTGATGGTTCTGAAATGAAGAGTGAGAAGGAAGAAGAAGACACAGCCTCAGTCTCAATGAACAAAGTGAACAAAGAACACGGGCAGGAGGAGCCCCTGGTGTTGGGAGTAGGTGGTGGAGTCAACAGTGAAGAATCCCAGATTAGGCCCCGCATGGAAATCTTCACTATGGAAATGGCCCCCACCTAACAATGCCAAAGGAAATTTTAATGAGTGGCAATTTAAGAAATGCTCTGAGAGATTAGACAGAAAACAAAGGCCATCAACGTGGTCATTTGACTCTGGAATTCCCTATTTAAGCTTGAGCCTGTTTGTTGAGCACTGGTTGCTCATTTGCTTAGGGTCAGTGATCCTTTTGATTATCACCCTAGGAAAACGCACATAACCACTATACAATTTGGTTTGCAATTTTAGGAATACCCAGCAATTCCCATAGCCTGTCCTATGTTTTGGTTGGGAACTCCCATCAGAGCAACAAACAACCTGCCAATGGCAACATTTACTACTTGTTTTCTGGGCCTAAGCACTGAGGGATACACATCTCACCTGTAATTTGTATAAACTCCAGGACAATAGAAGAGAGCTGTGAAGACACTTCTATCTCTACAAATGGTGTCCAAAGTCAGCGTTATCCCATACACCGAAGTAAGCAAGAAGATCAAAAGGGCAAGTATAAATGCTTGATGATTTGATTCTCCAACGCAGCTATTTATCCTCAAAATAGCAGAGAGAAAAAAGCAAATGTTTTAAAAAGTTCTTTATGTAACTCACATAATAAACAAGAAAGCTTTTAAAATCGGAACAGTGTTTATTTCAGCTATTAAAAAGTTCTGTTTTTCAGTTTAGGAAATTCAAAACTTTTCCACTGAGTGATGCTGTCTTATATTCTCTGCTATTTACAAAGTGGAATCATTATCATTTAGTTTAAGGATACAACTAAGTAAAAAGCAGAACCTAGTTAACATCCATATATATGTACATATATTTTATATATATAATATATAGTTTAAATACATAATATATATAATTTTTTTTGCAGTACTGAGGATTGAACCCAAGGCCTTGAGTATGCCAGGCAAGTACTGTACCACTGAGCTACACCCCCATCCTTTTTTTCTATTACTAGTAAGTAAAGTCTATTACCCAGCTACAAAGAGAGTTAACATTATCATTGCCACGCTAAATCAAAAACATACAGCAGAGTTATATAAACTTTAAAAATGCCCCAAGTCAGAAGTACTGTACAGGACTGGAGGTGTGGCTCACGTAGTAAAGTGCCTGCTTTACAAACATGAAGCTCTGAGTTCAAACCCTAGTCCCACCAAAAAAAAAAAAAAAAAAAAAAAAACTTTCCTATATTGTACAGGAAAGTATGTTTATGTTAACTATATAAAAGAATAATAAAAAGATCCGAAGAGATTAAAACTGTGGTGTGGGGTGGAAAACAACATGATAATATGCACACTATTTGTCAGGCAAAATGGTCCTGTGATGACCATTTGTACAACAGGATGTACAGGCCATCTGTCCTGCTCACTGTACCCCAGGATGTTTGGGTGGCCAGAGGAGGGTTCCATTTAGGAGGGGCTATCAGGTCTTCTGCAAACTAGCATTTGGAAACAGGGCAACACATATGCATACTGAAACACATGACAGGAATAAATGAAGAAGACAAAGAAGAGTAGTATCTAAAAAGGAAAACCTTGTCTATTCCTAAAGACAAAGTCTCAGAAAAGAGCTGTCCCTGTACTAGGATCATCCATTTGTGGTCCACTCCAGTACCACCTGGCCTTTCCTGCTTCTCACACTTTACTATGTCCCCTCTGAGGGGGGAGTATACCACATGTCCTCAAAGTAAAATTTTAATAATCACAAGTGCCTTAAGAGCAATGAGGCTACAAACATGCTACGTACAACATTCACATCTGAGTAATTACACTGCCTTTAGTTCGGAGTTTCTCAATAAAGCTGCAACATTATACTTAAACACTGCACTTTCTATCTTACGAGCCTTAGGTGTCTTCCTTGTCATTGGCCAGCTGGAAGGTACAAAAGAAGCCCATCTGTCTACTAACAACCAAATAAAGGCTTGTGGAGTGGGAAATCACTAGAGCATCAAAAGTTATTAACCATGTACAGCAAGAAGACAAAAGTCACCTAAAAATAGGTGAATTCTTTCCCGTCTCTGTGTTCAAAAGGAGGAAGGAAATACACCTATACTGATAATTCTTCTTAATCAATCTAGTAGAAAGGAGAAGATAAATGAAGAGAAGTTAAAAGGAAAATTGAAAGAAAAAAAAAATCCCAACACACAAGCTTTTCTCCTTCAGGAAATGATTGAAAGAACTAAATTTGTGAAACTCAAACTGATGACTAAGTGGGAAAATCCTTACAGCCCACAAATATCTACAAGGTGTAAAACTGGGAAGGAGAGAAATTTTAGGATAGCACAAAGAACAATCAAATATGGCTATAGAACTGTTATGTGAAATTATACTTTCCAGCCCTCCAGATTTTTCCAACATACCAGACACAATGATGATCCATTCTCCTCACACAGATGCCACATATCCGGCAATGCCATGCCCGGGCAGGTCGCACCAGCTGACACTTGGCACACCAGTCCTCCTTCGCCTTGGTGGGGCTTTCAGCCCCCATCCTGGAGGAGCTTTTAAGATCATCCTTCAGCGTGCGATTGCTGAGACTACCTGACGTATCTGCTCCAGGGAACCCTGTGGTCTTCTCCTGTCCTTTTTTGTTCAGGCATTCAATTTGGCTGCTGTTTAGGGATTTGTCATTGCTTGTTGGATAGCTGAGGTAGCCTGGATTCTTCTTGGCTCTGTACAAGGCTAAGAGTATCAGAAATAACCCGAAGGTAAGAACAGCCAGCTGAGTGGGCCCCACACGCCCTTTGGGGACCACTTCCCTCAGGAACACGCAGTACATGTAGCCCAGTGAAAACAGTCCAAGGCTCAGGAAAAACAGAGTCTGTTCTTTCCTTCTGTGAGTGAGGTAGTAGTACCACAGTGCCAGCACAGGAAGGGAGGTCAAAACCACCACCCCCAGCAAGAAATGCCAAGAAGCCACATGAAGAAAGACAGGAAGAAGGACAAGTGGAGGAATGATACTAATGTTAACTTTTTTGGCTCCTCTAAGCCAAGGAATTCGTAGGCGATCAGAAATTGTATCCATGATTTTTTCACAAGTCTCTGGCTGCACTGATTTACACGTAATCCATCTATTCAGAAAGAGCACAAAGAAAAGGCACTTCATATGCATTTGCTAAATTAAAAACTACGGAACACTGAATGCCAAACAACAAGATAAGTGGTAAAAGAGACCAAAGGCCATGTATTTATTTTATTTTCTTACTACTAAACCCAAACTTTTCAGATTCATGCATTATTTTTACAATAGGAACAAAATATAATAAAAACATAGCACACAGAAATTTAACAGTCAAGATTATTTCTTAAACAAATACATAGGCACATAATAGGTATAAACACACAGTCCATACAAGTAATGCTTAGACTTGGGTGAGTGGTCAGAAGAATCAAAAAATTCACAATCTAGCTGTGCACAGACAGCATGAGAATTCAAAAATTACTAGGTAAACGGTAATCATCCAATGAACTCTTGTGATGGTTACTAGCAGGGCAAACACTTCCAGGTAGAGTTATCAGGAGTCTAGGCAGAAAGGTAGAATCTGTGCTTGACCATTTACAAGAGAGGAAAGGAAGGGAGGGAGGCATTCCAGTGAAGAGAAATGGGTGCGGCGTAAAACCTGTCCTGGGCCCAAGGAGTGAACCAGTCTAGAATGAGTCCAGTGATGGATGCTGGTAAACAGAATGGCATCTGCTAACTTTTTTGCACACTTAGGCTATGTTATGGTCTGAATATTTGTGTTTTCCCCAAAATTCATGCTAAAACTTAATCCATAACACATTAGTATTAAGAGATGAGGCTGCTGGGCATGATTGCACAGCTGTAGTCCCAGCTTCTTGGGAGGCTGAGGCAAAAGGATTGCTTGAGTCCAGCAATTCAAGGTCAGCCTGGGCAAGGTAACAACACCCTGTCTTAGAGAAAGGAAGAGGGAGAGAGGGAGAAATGGGGAAGAGAGAAATGGACAGATAGGGCCTTTAGAAGGTCACGAGGTCATGCATGAGAGCAGAGCCCTCGTGTGGGATTAGTACCCTCATAAAGGAGGCCAATGAGGATGCAGCAAGAAAGCACCATCCACAAAGCAGATGACTGAGTTGTGTTCATATGTCCTAGAGTTTTGTAGAGTGATGGGACTGAATAACTGGGGGAAGTCATTTACAATAGCCTCAAAAAAAAAAAAAACCTAGGAATAAACTTAACAAAAGAAGTGAAAAACCTCTACAATGAAAACCATAAACTACTGAAGAAAGAAATCAAAGAAACTACAGAAGGTGGAAAGATTTCCCGTGCTCATGGATTGGTAGAATCAACATAGTGAAAATGGCTATACTACCAAAAGCAGTCTACATGTTCAATGCAATTCCCATCAAAATCCCAATGACATTCATCACAGAGACTGAAAAATCTACCCTGAAGTTCATTTGGAAGCAAAAAAGACCATGAACAGCCAAGGCAATACCAAGTAAAATGAGCAAAGTTGCAGGTACCCCAATACCTGACTTCAAACTGTACTACAGAGCCATAGCAATAAAAACAGCATGGTAGTAACACAAAAACAGACACAAGGACCAATGAAACAGAATAGAAGACCCATACATAAATCCACGCAGCTATGCCCACCTGATTTATGATAAAGGCACCTAAAACATATGATGGAGAAAAGACAGCCTCTTCAACAAACAGTGCTGGGAAAAACTGGATATCTGCATGCAGAAGACTGAAACTAGATCCATGTCTTTCCCCCTGTACAAATATCAAGTCAAAGTGGATCAAAGACCTTTAAATCTAGAGCAGGGAATACACTGGAACATACAGACATAGGCAATAAATTCCTAAATAGAATCTAATGGCTCAGCAGCTAAGAGAAAGGATTGACAAATGGAACTACATGAAGCTAAAAAGCTTCTGCACAGCAAAGGAAACAGTCACAAGATAGGGGACGCGGCCCACAGAATAAGAGATCTTTTGCCAGGTATACATCTGACAAAGTGATTAATAACCAGAATTTACAGAACGCTCAAAAAACTAAACTCCCAAAGAATCAATGACCCATTGAAGAAATGGGCAAAATGAACTATAAACAGAGATTTTTCAGAGGAAGAAGTCCAAATGGCCAAAAAAACACATGAAGAAACGCTCAATATCCCTGGCCATAAAGGATATGCAAATCAAAACCACAGTAAGATTCCACCTCACTCTTATTAGAATGGCTCTCATCAAGAACACACCAACAAATGCTGGCGAGGATGCAAGTGAAAAAAGGAACCATCATACAGTGTTGATGGGAATGTAAATTAGTACAACCGCTATAGAAAGCAGCATGGAGTTTCCTCAAAAAACTGAAAATAGAACTACCATATGATCCAGCAATACCACTCTTAGGCACATATCCAAAGGAATTAAGTCAGGATACAATAAAGACACTTGCATACCCATGTTTATTGCAGCATTATTCATAATAGCCAAACAACAGAAACAGCCCAGATGCTCTACAACTGATGAACAGTTTAAAATATGTGATATATGGAATTTTATTCAGCCATAAAGAAGAATGAAACTTTGAGGGCACAGGTAAATGGATAGAACTGGAGAGTATCATCTTAAGTGAAATTAGCCAGGTTCAAAAAGACAGAGATGGCATATTTTCTCCCATATGTGGAAGACACACCCAATACAAACATTATCCTATATACATAAAAATATATACAGAACATATTTCCAAAAATGGGACTGTTAGAAGAAACTAAGTGAGGAGGAGGAGAAGAAAAGAATGATAGGGAGTGAATAATAATGAAATATATCACATATTGTGTGGGAACAAGATACAATGAAATGCACTGAAAACTGGTGAACAATTACAGGGTAGGGGGAAAAGGGAAGAATAATAGTGGAGGAGGTTAGACAGACTGGTTGAAACCAAATATATTTATAGGTAAAATACCAAGGCAAAGTCCCCACACAATGAACAGACACCCAAACAATGAAGGACAGGGATGTAAAACAGGTCATGTTAAGGGGAAAGGAAATGAAGAGGGTAAAGGAGGGTGAACGTGGCTGATGTACTTTCTATATAAGTGTGAATATGGAACACTGAAACCTGATAAAGTCACTTTAAGAAGTTGGAGGGAGAATGAAGGAGATGAACCAAATTGGGGTATTATACATGTAATATGGAAATGTCATAATGAAATGCCCTATATAACTATCATACACTAAAATAAAAGTGTTTTAAATATAACTGGTGGGAGAATTGCTAAACAAAGTATTTGTAGTGCTGTATAGCTTCTCTTGAATGTTTATAGTAAAAGTGAGGAGAGAAACGGCTTTACAGATAGAATTTAGACTCAAAGGGAATATCTGAAGATTTGGAAAGTTCTCAGCCTATCTATATGGTAACAAATGAGAAAGCATGTTTGGAAGAGAACATCAAGGCAGATAAGATGCTCAGTGAAGGTCAGCCCTGTGCTATTCATCACGACAGTGGAAAGATGACCCTCAATGCATTTCAGAGATTGGGGCTCCACTCCTAACACAAGTCCAGAATACTGGGGCCTTGACACAAAATGGTTTCTTAGAAAAGGCCCAAGACACCTGTGAAACTTGGAGGCTCACTGCCTAGTACCACCTCAACTCTCTGCTCCTAGGTACAGTCATTCCATAGCAGTCCCAGGTGTGACTCCAGTGGCCACAAAGGACATGGGTGGTAAAGCTTGGCAGTATCTATATAGTGCCAATTCCTCATGTGTGCAGAGTACACGAGCAGTAGAGGCATGGCTATCTCCATCTGGATTTCAAAGGATGTCTCAGGGAGCCTCAATGATGTGCAGAGCCACCACAGAGCCTTCACTACAGCACTGCCCAGTGGAGCAGGGGGTGGGGTCTCCAAACAACTACAGAAGAGCTATAGGGGCACCAAGACCCCAGAGGAGTAGATGCCACGCCAGCATGCTACTCCAGTAGCATGAGAGAGCTGCAGACACAACTCCAACAGAGGAGGGCCAGAGCACGGGCTGAACTCAGCAAAGCTGTGGGGCCTAAACATCTAGAGCCTTGGGAGGCCAACCTCAATCTCAGCTAGTCTTGGAAGGGCCAAATACCATCCTCAAGGCTCAAAACTCAGTGTTATTTGCCCTGATAGGACCTGTCACTCCTTTCTTCTCTCCTATACTCACTTTTGGAATGGTAATGGCTACTCAATGCATGTCTCACTAGTGTATTTTGAAAGCACACAACTAGTTGATTTCACAGGTTCACAGCTGGGGGAAAATTTGCCTCAGAATGAATTGTACTTGAGTCTTACTCATATCTGATTTAGGTGATGGTATTTAGACCACACTCTGAACTTTGTGCTGGGCTGGCAGAATGACTCAAGAGGTAGAGCGCCTCCTTAGCAAGCATGAGGCCGGGAGTTCAAAGCTCAGTACCATGAAACAAACAAACAAAAAACACCAAAACTTTTTTGTGCTATTGCTGAAACAAGTAGACTTTTGAGGCTGTCAGGTAGAAAGAATATATTTTGCATGTGAGGGCCTGAATTCTGGGGACCAGAGTGAAATACTATGGGCCTGAATATTGTGTCCCACCAAAACGTATGTTGAAACCTATTCGTCAGTGCAACAGTATCAAAAGGTAGCACCTTTAGGAGCTCATTACTTCAGGAGGGCAGAGCTCTTATGAATGCTATTAGTGCCCTTGCAAAAGAAGTCCAAGGGAGGTCATTCACCCTTTCATCAGGTGGGGACAGAGCAAGAAGGTGCTGTCTATAAGGAAGAGGGCCCACACCAGATACTCTATCTGCCAGAATTTCTCTACCTCCACAATTGTGAGCAGTACATTTCTGTATTTATAAATACACCACTGTAAGCTATTTTGTTACAGCAGCCTCAATGGACTGAGTCAGGCTAGTAACAAGAGGTAAAGTCTAAGCAAAAATAACTTTGATTCTAGATCATTTTTAAAAGTAGGACCAGAATGTGGAAATGAATAGGAGATAACCATCTGGGTGTCATACCGATCAGTAGGGACAATGAAACACTGGAAGCCCATCTCCAGAGGAAAAGGGTATGGAAAGCAGAGGACAGAACTCGGGACAGCCCAGGTCTCAAGGGCTGAGGGAGGAAGGGTTAGCAAAGTCAATGGAAAAGCTGCGGTCTTGAGTGATGGTGGTTATGAGAACAGCATCCTCTCCCCATTCATTAATGCAGAGTGCTCCATTTTCTCAGTATGGGTTTTAGACTAAGTCTAAAAATCTGTATTTAAAGCCACCTGTAAAAAAGACTATAGACACTGCCACAGAAGAATTACACAGAGGTTGTGGTCTGTGGGGGTCAAGATTGGTTGCAGTGATCCCAGGGAATGCTTTTCATAGCTAGATTAATGCACCAAGCTTTAAGTCAACAATTTGTCATTGCAGTGACTTTTTTTTTAACCAGAATTAAGTGTTCATGGGAAAACCAAATTTCTACCATCCCTATTCTCCCCATATGATACTTACCATATAATAGTTTTTAAATATATGATTTAGAAAATGTCTAAAAACCAGTTTATTACTTCCTGATACGAATTTTTTCATTAATGTTAAAATTGTTCTTTTTGGACAGTAACTTCCACCGCTGAGATGGTGGTGAGCATAAAGGCCAAATACAGTAATCAATGAAGACAGTCTTGCTGCTCACACGGAGGGACAGCAGCCTGTCCAGGGAAGGTACATGCCTCTGGCTGCAGTTCTTCAGCAGAAACGGGTGAACCAACAACAGGAAAATCATCTTTTAGCCCCAAGGCCCATTGTGGCCAGGTGCAATCAGTCACATTTAGTAAGTCTCTAATGAGAGTCTACCACTGAGAAGTTAGGAACTTTTCTGGAATTAATATGTTCATTTTTAAACTTACAGATTCTGATGGCTTGTATTTTTAAATACATTTCACTTGCCTACTATCCCTTTATTTGCGTGTTCTGTCCATCATCTCTCTTTAACTGAAAAATTATAATGTTCTAGTAAACTGAGCTGGACAGATAATTGTGCACTTCTGCATAGTTCCTCTTTATAAAATCCTCACACTTGACACAGAAAACGACTCTCAATTTTAGATCCTTGTAAATAGAATCGAGAGCAAATTCTAGCGTTCAGAATGGCAAAGCTGAAGTACACACGGTAGTTCTCAAAAGGACCGGTGGGGTCAGCATCAAGAAACACTGTTCTTACCTATCACACCCTTCATCGAGATCTTGGCAATCACACAAACAAGCAGCCATGTGGTTCTTTTCCCCATTTCGATCTATGTACTCGCAGCAGCACAGGGGCTCCAATTCAGGCTCTTCGGTTTTCTTTTTCTTCACTAGCTTCATACCTGGCTCTTGTGTGTGATGATGTGCACCTGTCACCACGAGACGTTAGCCCTTCAGAAGGTAAAGGCGAAAAGAAGCCAACTCACATCTTGTAAACACATCCACGCTTCTCTCTGATTAACGCCAACGCCTGAGCTATCAAAAATGAGAAGAAAGGGTGAAGGGGTCCAGTGTCATCAGGCTTTTGTGGAACTGCGTGATCAGACCGAGGTTCTAGGGTCTCGGAGCTAACTTTACCTCCCCTTCCCAACCAGGGCTACTGCTGTCTGGGCACCAACCGTCCCCATGGCGACAGCCGACCACGCGGTCAGGAGAGCCCAGCGCGGGCGGATGCTTTCACCTGCGGGTGCGGAGTGGGCAGGGCCGAGCGGTCCCCGCCCCGAAGCCGGGCGCTGCGTTAACTCATCCTCAGGGCAAGGCGAAGCCTAGGACGCGCCCTGGGGCCACCAACCCGTCCGGGGAGTGCCACCAGCTCCGAGGTCCCGGTCCAGCCCGGCTTCTGCAGCCCCGCGCCGGGCGCGCCTCTCCCGCCCCCGCCAATAGGGAGGACGTGGGCGGCCCTCGAGCGCCGCCCCGCCCGGAGAATGACCTTGGAAGGGAAGTTACCTGTCCTCCCGACCGAGGTGCGGCTGCCGCCGGGGACAGACACGGAGTGGCGAAGGATCGGCTCCTCCCGAGCCGCGGAATCGTCTCCGACCTCGGCTCCGCTGGGCTCCGGGTGTGACAGCCGGCGTCTTGGGGACCTCCGCTCCGCGTGGCTGAACCCTCGCCGCAGCCGCCCACCTGTGACCGCAGCGGACCGCGGCCGGGCGGCGCGCGCCTCCCGGTGCGGTCCCCGCTGACCCCGGCCAGCCCGGCCCGGCGCCGCAAGTCCGCGCGCTTCCGGGTGCCCCGCCCGCGCCGGGGTTGCCCGCCGCCGCACGTGCGCCGCCCGCCGCCCCGCGCCCCGCCGAGCCCGCCGCGAGGCCCCGCCTCCCGGCCCGCGGCCCTGGCGGGACCCGAGCGCCGGTTCCCGAGACCGTCCTGGCCGCGGGGCGCAGGGCGGACCCCGCCCCTCCTGCCCACTCCGGGCACTGCGGGCGGCGCGTGGGTCTCCGGAGTCCTCGGTGCGGGCGAGGTGCGGAGACAAATCCCGGGAAGCCGTGGATTTCGCAAGTACGAGAGACCGGCGCCGGCAACAGGCGTTAGGGGACGCGCTCCCCCGCAGTGTCACCGAGGAACCTCCCCCGGACTCGCGGACCTTCCCTTAAAGGCCCAACCCGCTCCCAGGTGGAGCTTTGCTGACCAGCTTGTCCCTTCTGATTCCGAGGAGCGCGGGCCGCGTTCGCTCGCAGGCCTCGCCAGTACTTTTGCTCCAGGAGTCTACAACCTGGAAAACGAAATTCCCCCAAGAGTCCTCTTCGGGTTTTAGTTTTGCAGGAAATGTTAGAGTGTAGACTCTGGACACGTTTCCACTGCCTCGGGCTTTCTAGGTTTTTGTCTTTGTTTTTAAGCAGAAAAAGAAAAAAATGCAACTCAGGCATTTTGGAGTTTATTGATATTAACATAACAGGTGCAGTTTATTAATTGAATTCTGTATACATATAATTTATAAAGCATCTTTGGTAATCTTTGAGGTATGTTATAAAGGACGAGTTTTAGAGAAACCACAAAAATATTGTCGGTAATCATTTTTGTGAATTTAACAGTTTCACGTTTATAATCCAGTCACTCTTGCTCACAGCCAGACACTTCATAAATTCTTACCGCCAAAAAAGGAACCAAATAAAAAACACCTTAGAGAGATAAATTTAGGTTAGTTGAGATTCACCCAAAGAACGTATTTTCGCTCTAATCCAGTCCATATTTCTTTCCATACAATCATCTCAAAAATTACTTCGGTGATGCCATGTAGCTTTGGTGACTCTGGGGAAAAAAGGGACACTTAAACTAAAGTAACAGTTGTTTAAACAGTAAGAATATATACAGTTTGTGTGTGTGTGTGTGTGTGTGTGTGTGTGTGTGTGTGTGTGTGTGTGTGTGTGTTTTCCAGAAAAAGACCTCAAGAAGACAGTAAGGACTTCCTGAATTTTTCCTAACTCATGAAAAAGTCTGATTTCAAGTCAGTTCAGAATCCTAATTTTCACAGCCTTTGTACTGACACAAAAATGCCTTAAAATCTCATATGAAAGAGTCCAAGGTTGTGCCTTACAACTTCACACAGTGCACTAGTATTGGGCCATACATTTCCCAAAAGTATTTATTAGAAGAGTTTGTGTCTGGCTTATACTTTACCAAGTAAAAACAAGCCACACACACATATAAAGAATGAAGTCATACATGGCTACTGAAAAATAACACAACCAGATGGGACTGCTAAGCAGAATCCAAGCTTAGTTCAGGTGTGCATCTGACTTTTATCACTAAATGCCCAGATTTTAGCAATACCTTCTGGTTTTTAAAACTCAGAGGATGGTTCTTCATTTTGAGCATTGGTATCCTACTTAGTGCTTCCTTTTGCTAAATTGACTCCTCTTCTGCCTTTTGATGTATGAAGAGGCAAGATAATTTCACCTCCACCACCTTAATAAACATTTCTTTCATAAAGATACAACATGGCTGAAGAACATTTTAGATAATATCCATCAACACAGATTCAAAAGGTCCATTGAATTTGCATGCCAAATAAAGAGAGCATAATATTTATAAGATACAAACCTAGAAATGTTGTATATGCCTGAAAATTGATCCTTTAAAAATAGTAATGATTATGAAGTGACTTTTTATATTATTCTTAGTCTCCTATTATATCAAGTGCAAACACATTCTATTGAACACATCCTGGTTCTGTGCTAACAGGTAAATTTAAAGCATCAATCTTCAAGCCTCTCTGTAGAAAAGAAGCCGTACCACTCAATTCAGAGCGTATCCTTTTCTTTTTGTATCACAGAATTTCAGTTCCAGAATTACATTTCTCAGTTCGCTGGAGAAAGTCACAGCTTAAAAATATCTATAGGAAGTGAAAGAATAGATTCTTAAGACCATCAGAGAATAATTATCAAGTAAATGTTATTAAAAAGAATGTTTGTATTAAAAGTGCCAATAATAAGAAAAAGTGGAAATGTTCCTATGACAATCCTTCATCCTCTGGTTTTCTTCCAGATGTTTTCTTGTCATTCCAAGTAGCTACAATTTCAGTCCTAAAATCACTAGCTTTCAACAGCCATGCCAGTCTTGTTCTTATTTAGTAGATCAAAGGTTTTCTGAAGCATAACAAGGGAATTCTTCAGCTGCAAACAAAATTAATTTTCAAAACCAAATTGTTTAAATTTTTCTGACATTTTATGCCAAAAGTTTACAATTATATTCAATATAATTTTGGTTATACCAGTGCACAAATAAAACACTGATGATAGGACATCTGACTATCAGGGTGACTGCTACAGAATTCCTCCCATGTGCTGGAGTATTGGCTGTTCTTCCTGCTGTTGTACATTCTGCCTTCCAGTAGGCCCACTAATCAAATTATTCCAAGCGAAAGGCTTGTTTTCTTAAGTGTTTTCTGAAGTTGCAGTGGTGTCTTCACTATCCTTATAAACACAGGTTCTATGCTAGGCCACTCCTTTCTATTGTGCTCATGTTCCTTTGCACATATCCATTGGTCCATGTAGTTTTCGCTTACTACTTAATACTTTGACATTTAATTTTGTACTTTTTATATTATTTAACTATACACATGGGCATCTGATTTTTCTAATAAAATTGTAAGCAACTCAAGACAAAAATATGTCTTATTCTTTGTTATATTTATTCATTCATTCAACAAATATTTATTGCATATCTATTTCATGCTGGGCACTATGCTAAGCACTGAGTATATGATGGTGAACCAAAATGGCTCCCTGCTTTCATAGAGCTGACAGACTCATGAGGGATGAACCAAAACCAATAATCACATAAATATATACTTATTTCCTACACTTTTGACTTGAGAAATTAGAGCATAGTAGTTATCATTTGAGGTCCACTAGAAGAGAATTGAGTTTTAGCCTTTAGGAAAATTGAATTCTGTTTTGGGCATAATCAGTTTGGGATGCCTCTTAGTCATCCAGATGAAGATGCAAGTGACTACATGAGTTCAGAGCTCAAGGGAGGGGTCAGAGTGAGAGATTCAGATTTGGGAGTTGGTGTGGTTTGGATGTTTGTGTCCTCTTGCCCCAAAGTTCATGTTGAAACTGAATCCCCAATGCAGCAGTATTGAGAGGTGTTGCCTTTGGAAGGTGATAGGTTCTGCCCTCATGAATGGATTAGTGCTCTTATAAAAAGGCTAGAGGGAACTTGCTAAGACAATTGGTCCCTTTTGCCATTTGAGGACTCCATTTATGAGGAATGGGCCCTCACCAGATACTGAACCTGTCAGCACCCTGATGAACTTTCCAGCTTCCAGAACTGTGAGAGGTTTCAGTTGCTTATAAACCATCCAGTCTAAGACCTACCTTCCTTCCTTCCTTCCTTCCTTCCTTCCATCCTTCCTTCCTTTCATTTGTTTTTTAATATAGCAGCACAAATGGACCAAGACAGGAGTAGTTTTTTAAAGTTAGGCGAGTTGATGAAATTGCCTAAAAGGAAAGTAGTAGAGAAGGAAAAGGATGTAACACAGAGCCCGGAGCACTGGGGCCTAGAAAAGTTGGTCAAGTAGAAGAGACATACTCTAAGTGAAAGAAGCCAGTCACATATTGTAAGGGCAATTTATATGAAAAGTCTTCAAGAGGAAAACTTTGTAGTAATGGAAAGTAGATTGGTAGGTACCAGGGATTGAGAGGAGTGACTGCTAATGGGTATAGGATTGATTCAGGAGTGATGAAAGTGTTCAGCAATTAGATAGTGGTGAAGTTGCACAACCTTGGGAATATACTAAAAATTCTTTAAGGTGACTTGTTAGTGCAGAAGGTAGCATGTCAGTCTTATAAAAGTTCTTTAAAAGTGTGAATTTTTAGTATGTCAATTCTATCATAATAAAGCTGTTTTATTTTGTTTTGGTTTTTTTCAAGTGCTGGGGATCAAACACAGGTCTTTGCATGTGCTAGGTAAGTTATCTACCACTAAGCTACAGCCCCAGCCTTTAATGGTTTTAAAAAAGGCAAGATTAGATACAGTTCAAGAAAGGAGTAGTCAGCCCTGTCAAATTCTGACACTGCAAGATGAAGACTAAAAAAAAGGTACATTATTTTTACAAAGAGATCACTGGAGACCTTATCTCAAGCACTGTTGATGGTGGGGGGCGGATATGAAGGAAGAAAACCAGGCAAGAGTGAACACGCATCCAATTTTGTTCCTCCTGAAATCCCACTAAAAGTACAGTAAAGAGATTTTTTTAGGCATTAGTCCACAAAGGCAGGAGGAACAGAAAGGAGGCAAGAGCAATGCAACATTGGGAACTAGAAAGCAGATGAAAGACTTAGCAGGCCTGAAAAAAACTTCAATGCTGAGCTAACAGTCAGGATCACCAGGTACTGATGGCCAGAAAGAAGAACCAAAATAAGAAGGACTAGATTAAACTTGGGGCACCTGATGTCTATTACTACCTAGGCAGAAATCTAGACTTGTAGTTTTTGAAGAGGATAATAAAGAAGGACACCTGGTTATTAAGGACAATGCCATAGCAAAAGCTCAGGGATAAATGAAAAAGTGTATGCCGAAGATTAAGGCTATCTCTTCTGCTCTGCCTTCACCATTCCTCTTTTTACACTCAGCTCCCCAGATGCTAGCCAGCCAGCTCTGGCTAGCTAGGAGACTGGAAGCATCTCTTCTGTGAATACTGACCAATCATCTGGCAAGCTGACTGACCTGAAGATAGTAACAGGATTAATCAACTGCCATTCCAGCCAGGTGGACGGAGAAGCTCAGGACACACAAGCCCAAGCTACGTGTTAAGAGCCTCTTATCCACATGAGCAGACAAGCAAGGACTACCAGAAATCCATGGGCCCTCTAAGATAAAGACAGACATTAAAACCAGGGGAAAGGATCTTGACGTAAAATGAGTATGCAAGAAGAAGAAAAATTTTAACTGTCAGTACTAGCCTCAGAGAGCTGAAAATTGTGGTTATTAAAAAATACTGCCAAGCTCCAGTGGCTCACACCTATAATCCTAGCTACTCAGAAGGCAGAGATCAGGAGGATCACAGTATGAAACCACCCTGGGCAAGTAGTTCTCAAGACCCTATCTTGAAAAAACCCATCACAAAAGAAGTGGAGTGGCTCAAGGTGAAAGCTCTGAATACAAACCCCAGTAAAGCGAAAAAATTTTTTAAAAAAGAGATTACACCACCACAAAAGGAACAATTCAGAAAAATAATCTCTCTTTAAAATTAAAAACTTATTAGCAAAAATTGGAAAACTCCATAGGAGAATCTGAAAATAAAGTTGAGTATATCTCTCAGAAGTAGAACACAAAGACAAAGAGATAAAAGCTGGAAAGAAAAAATTATACAAACCATTCAACAGAAGGCTGATGTTACTGGATCTTAAATATTCTGCAAATGCTATCCCTCCTCCCTTGTACCCCTCCTTCCCCCTCCTATCTTTGCTCCACCATGGATGTTTGGTCTCATTTCAGCAATGGGGGCAAGGGATCAAGGGCCAAAATAAATCTTTATTCCTTTAAGTTGTTTTTCTATTTTTTTTTGTCATAGCTACAAAAAGCTAACACAGCTTACATCTGAACAATAGAACCTACTGAAAATCAGGAGAAAGAACATGAAAAGGAGGAAATCATCAACTATATGACTCAAGAAAATTTTCACAACTATAGAGAATGAGTTTGCATATAAAAAGATCAGAAAGGTCCAGGTGCTGGTGGCTCAAGCTTGTAATCCTAGCTACTCAGGAGGCAGAGAGCAGGAGGATCATGGTTCAAAGCCAGCCCAGGCAAATAGTCTGTGAGACCCTATCTTGAAAATACCCAACACAAAAAAGGATTGGGAGAGTGGCTCAAATGTTAAGAGCCCTGGCCTAGTAAGTATGAGCATGAGGCTCTGAGTTCAACTACCAGCACCTTCAAAAAATGAACTTTTTTCAGGAAGTTGTACTCTTAAAACATTTACCTCCAAATTCAGGAAGCTACTTAAAGGGTGTGCTCCATTAAAAGAAAAAAGTAGGAGTGAGGGATATAGCTCAGTGGTACAGCACTTGCCTAGCATGCATGAGGCACTGGGTTCAGTCCCCAGCATGGCAAAAAGGAAAAAAAAGAAGGAAAAACATGGGACATACGAAGCAGAAATAATAGACAATAGGAATCCCAGGATGATAGCTGTGCACCTGACACAGAGGACCCCTGGACCTGACTGGAGTCAGTAGAAGGCACCATCAGTAAATACAGATTTCACCAGGAGACTTTTAAACAGAATTAGGAGATGAAACTGATAAGAAAGTAATTATAAGGATAACCTAAGGCATAGAAAAGGTAGTCCTGGAGCTTGGAACAGCAAACTTGGTCAAAACAGAGTCAATACCAAGTATTGATGTAACCCAAATCATGCTGTAACTTCCTTCGGAAGATGGTAGGAAACTGAAATTATGTTGGGGAAGGGTGGCGGAGTAATAAAGAAAAACCAAACACTTTTCCATAATAGGAAGCCAAAAGATAATATCTAAAATTGGAAAATCAAGACATATCAAATACATGCTTATTTCCAAAATGGAGGTAAGCAAAATAATAAGTTATGTACTATTAACTCTAGGAAAGAAATGGGGGAAGGTGATGGGATTTCAATTTTTCTGAACAAACTTTATAGAACAGGTTAACTCTTGGTGCAATGAAGTGATTTTGATGAAAAGAACAAGTACAAAGTGGATGGGTTATAGTGACAGCCAGAGCAGGCAAGTCTTAAAGAGACTGGCTGTGAAAGGAAGTAGAAACAGATGAGTGGATGGAGAGGAGTGTAGATGAAGTGGGTCTGTTAACACAAGAGATGATGAGCCAGGGTCACATGCTGATGGTAAAGATCCAGCAGAAGAAAGGACTGGAAATGAAGAAGCTAGACAAGTGGTGGGCGCAGTCTCCCTCATGCACTGCAACTTGCCTCCCACAGGCAAAGGAATGCCCTAATGCTAGTCAAGAAGAGAATGTGTGCATTGCATTTCCAGCACATCCCTCCTATCCCTTTCCTTATATCCTCCCCTCTCCCTCTGGCACCAGTCCCCACACAGGACTTGTTTCACCTTCCTGCTCTCCATTTTTGAAAAAAGACATTTTTGTTTGTTTAAGATAGATATACAGGGGAGACAAAGCAGAATGATAGAGGGGTGAATTTGACTATGATATACTGTGAGAACTTTTGTAAATGTACCCTCAGTACAACAATAATATGATTAAAAAAAGAAAAAAGTCATCCCTAAAGTTTATTTGGAAGCACAAAAGACAGAGAATAGCTGAAGAAATGCTGATCAAAAAGAGCGACTCTGAAGGAATCACACTACCCAGCTTCAAACCATTCTCCAGAGCCACAGCAATAAAAACAGCATGTGCTGAACACCAGTGGAACAGCATAGAGGACCCAATGTGAATCCACGCAGCTACTCCCACCTGATTTTTGACAAAGGCTCCCAAAATATACAATGGAGAAAAGACAGCCTCTTCAATAAATGTTGCTGGGAAAACTGGGTATCAGCCTGCAGAAAACTGAAACTAGATTCATTACTTTCACCCTGTACAAGTATCAACTATATTTTTTGCTTTGTGGTTAACAAGAGGCTTAAAATTTGAGTACTGCAAGCTATTTTGAAATGATGATAACTTAACATGATAGTACGAATAAGACATAAGCAAACTAAAGAACAAGAGAAAACATATCCACAAGAAATAGAGGGGCTAATATGATCAAAGTCTGTTGTGTGGATATATGGAAATGTCATAATGAAACCCCCTTTCTTTGTACAATTAAAAAACAACATAGAAATGAAAAAAGAAAAAGAAGAAGATGGGCACAAAGATAGGATGGCTTATAGATGTGGTTATAGAAAGAGAATCAAAGTATCTCTTTTCTCCATAAGGCATGGTCATCAGTTGAGAGTGAGGTGGACATGGGGGCGAGGAAGAGAAGAAAAGTGAGACTGATGTGCTCCTTGCTGAGGATGGAGAAGAAAGTTACTAAGGAACTGTAGAGCCTGCACATCTGAAGAGTGCACAGCTGAAGCAGTAACCTTCATGATAGTCTAAGAAATGCTCATGACTGAATCTTCTGAAAAAAATCATGTGGATAGAAGAAAAGGCTAGAAGGAAATAAAATACACTGATTATGTCTGAATACTAGAACTATTATGTTTTCTTCTCTTCTACTGTTTTCTATTTTCCAACTTTGAAAAGCGAGTGTGTGTTGTATTCATAACTAAATATTGATCTTTATTTTTCAAAGTGTTGGTTCATTGGATGAGACAGCACATACTGATGACATGGTGCTCAAGGGGTATCGCACCCAATGAAACCACCAGCAGCAAACTGAGCAGAGTAAATGGCGCCTGGCTAATCCTCACTTGCCCAGACTCATGCATTGCTAATGCAGGTATACATGCATGCCTGGTGTGGTGGCACATGCCTGTGATCCCAGCATCCAGGAAGCAGAGGCCAGATTGTGAGTTCAAGACCAGCCTGAGCTACATAGCTAAACTCTATCTCCAACACCCATGCAAAAAAAAGACCCTGTCTCAAAAAAAAAAGTAAAAATGACCAAAAGAATATTAATAATTTTAATAGCAAAATACTGAAATAACCTAAGTATTCATTGTAATGCAGAATTAGTAAAAATAATTATGCCACATTTATACAGTTGAGCCTTATCCATCTATTAAAAAAGAAGAAATACCTTATATTCTCATTTATAAGTATCCCCCAGATACACAGTTAATAGATAAAAGCAAAATAATGACACAATATATAGTAGCTACTGTTTATATCAAAAGTTAAAGGCAGGTACCTGTGGCTCATGCCTTGTAATCCTAGCTACTTGGAACTCTAAGATTGGGAGGATCACAGTTTGAGGCCAGCCCTGGAAAATAGTTCAAGAGACTCCATATCCAAAATAGCAAGAGCAAAATAAAGTGGAGGTGTGGCTCAAGTGGTAGAGTGCCTACTTTACAAGTGTGAAGCCCTGAGTTCAAACCCCAGTCTCACAAAAAAAAAGTTTATTTTTAGCATAAAGTTTGATCTAAAAGGATCAAGAGAAAGAATGATGCAGATGTATACATGCTGATAAACATCTTCAAAATCTAATATTAACTGAAAAAACTGTGTACCCAACAGTGTGTTGAGTATGCTCCCATTTTGTAAGAAAAATAACACAGGTGGCTATATACATAATATGCAGAATGCAGAAACCTTCTTTAAATAATGGTGTAGTAAATATTCTCTCATAACCAGAGGAACCGATTCACACCGGTACAAAGGTTCTAAGTACTGCAGGACGAAAATTGCATACCTGTTCTAGCATCAGTATGGAATCTTGAAGGACTCCTTTTAAACGATGGGTCTGATCCTTGTTCTTTTCAATATTTTCCGCTCTTGAGACCATGTCAGAGGCTAACCTGGAAGAAAGATAACATCTTCAAAATCAAGAGAAGAGCCTTTGCTCTTTCATTTCCAGAAAGTGTTGTACCACATAAATTACAAATAAAACACAAAAACAAACAAACAACAACAAAAAAAAAAACAAGCCATTATGACTAGAGGATAGCTAGAAAACCAGAATTTCTGAAAGTGGAATATGATTTTCTATAGAGAACTATTGAAATAATGTGATGGAAACAGACGAGGGAGAGGGATACTTACTTTAAGGATTTCTCTTCTTGGAAGTGGAGATGGTAAAAGGACTGAGCAGCATGCTCTATCTTTGACAACTTCAGAAACAGTGTCACATTCAACAAAACTAGCAGCAGCAAACTAGGCAGAACACATGACACCTGGTTAACCCATATTTATCCAGGCCATGAAAGCCAGGTGTGGTAGGACACACCCGTAATCCCAGTCTTCCAGAAGTGTAGACAAGAGGATGGTGAATTTGAGCCATACTGGGCTACATAGGAAGACCTTGCCTCAAAAAAATCCCCCCCCAAAAAGAAAGAAAAAAATATATATACAAAAATACATACAATACAAAGCTTTACAAATGTACATTATATAGACTGTTTTCCAGTTATTTAAATAAATTCTCTCATTTCACTGTATGAATTGCTTTGAAAAACTAAAGAAAAAGATGGAAAGTAACTAATGTGACAATAAAAGTCACATAATAATAACCCTAACTCAAGGTTGCATTTGTCTTTGACATCTGTTACTCTCTGCTAGGGATCTAAGCCAGTGATGATGTGGGACCACCAGCTAAGAAATCTACCAGGTAAGCTTTTAGGATCTATTTTTGGGTACTTTGGCTTAAGCAATTACATACCTACAATGCTGCATTTCAGAAAAGAAATGAAGATCAATATGAAGCTGATCTTGGGGAGACTATGACATATCTCTTATTCTCAGAGGAAGCTCAAAAAAAATACGATCAGCAAAACTTTTGTCTTGTTCATCTTGAATAAAGGAAATATCTAATATCAAATATACACTAATGTCAAAGAATTTTACATGAATTAAATATATTGGTTTTCACAGCAGCCTTTCAAGTGAATAAAGACCCATATGCAAATATGTAAGTAGCATCATATTTCTCTACTTATGTTTTTTCTGTTAAAATATTTACTCGCCTTTCAACATATACACACATTGGGGCTATGAGTATAGTTCTGTGGTAGAGAACTTGCCTAGGATGTACAAGACCCTGAGTCTGATCCCAACACAACACAAACAAATCATATATGTATATATGTGTGTATATATATATATATATATATATATATATATACACACATATATAGAATTTACCTTTACCCATTAAGAAGAGGATGTAAGGAAAAAACTTAAGGGTAGCAAAAAATCAAATTGTGAAATTATTATGACATTGAAATGGTATGTGGGTAACATTTCAATATTTGAGTATGCCTTCTGCAAAGCACTGCAGAAGCCCAATGATAATATTTGCCACTCAAAATTTTCACAGATTAAGCAGAATATAAAAAACTATTTTATAAAACTCAAAGGAATAACAAATATTTTCTGTGTTCTGAAATCTATAAGAAAAAACAGCTGACATAAAAGCTTCATCTCAAAAAATTATCACACGAGAGTGTATCACTAAGTCAGAATCAATACAGTTAGTCTAAAGAGTACCTCAAGATTTATATACAGCAAAGTAAATACTAGTGCTCTAAATATAACTAAGTTGATTCCTATAATGTGTCCTGAGATTTACACTAATTGCCCAGTATTTCTCACCATGTGATGCTTGATCACTTGTATTGTAACAAGTTGTATGCCTCAAAAAACTGATTTCTGATCCCTAGTCAAGGTCTGAGGAATCATTCTCTGGTATTGAGGCTGAGAATTCTGCATTCTAGCAAACTCCCCAAGTGATTCTTCTGCACAGTAACAGGTAAGAGCCACTGATCTAATCAAGCAGAGTCAAATAGTGTTATTGGGTCTTCACCAGCATGTGTATATAAATACTCCCTTTAAATTTATGGAATCTCCCCAAAAAAACCTGTGATAACAGAAATAAACCAAATTGGTTAAAAAATAAAAAATGTTGAATGTACACTGCATTCCTTCAAATTTAACAATTCTGAAAATCGTATATCCAAAACTATCAGACTGAAACCTATAAAATTGCTGTTTTTAGCCCACAGTGGATAAATTTCTACCCAATAATATACAAATACATTCACATTCTTTTGGGAACTAGTTAAAGGTAAATGAAGACACAAGCAAAATAAGCATCCGCAACAAATACTTACAAAAAACTCATCACCACAATAAGAGCAGTGTTGTATCTTTCCACTTCCTTTTTCTTTCCTGAAGGTCATAAGAAAAAGGCTAAATTAGAGTGAAGATTGTGATTGCACTGATAAAAAATTAATATTTGGTTGAAAATAACTGGAAAAGAAAATTATTTGCAAAGACCAAGTGATTTAGCACAAATTCCCTGCATCTCTTTTTTCACTTCTGATGTACTAGGTAAAGTGAACAAACCCACAGTGAGAAAACCTATAGCAATCCTTCAAATTTGGGATATATAACAAATTCATTTGCTCTAAAGTTAAATAAGCAATTCAATACATCATTCATGACATATAGCTAAGTACAATCTTTGCAAATCATACTTGAATGGGTTTATGTACAGTGCTTCTCTAAAAAAATCCTCCTCACCAATCACTGTTACCTAAAACTTTAAATTCCAAAATTAGAGAGCCATTAATCTTAAATAGGGGGTAAATATAGTCATACTAAGACATAATTCTGAAGAGGTTTGGTAATATAGGAGGATCAGAAGGTATGGCAGCTTTATAGCCTGAGAGAGAGAGGGAATAACTGTTAGTAAAAGCAGAATGTCTTCAAAATTGAAAGTAGAGATAATAAAAGTCAAGGTCCATCTTTGCATTTTTCCTGGCCTGGCCCTGACATTACATAAGAGCAGTACATTCAGAGGAAGAAATCAAATGTCTGTAGAGCCAGGCAGGAAATAAATGAGTGAAGCTGCCCAGAAGCAGGGAGAGAGGTGACTTAGTTGAAGACAGTAACCAGCTGGGAGCACAGACTATCTGGAAAGGCAGTTACAAGGAAGCTGCAACTGCGGCTACACAGGGATTTAGTACAGGACTGTCAGATCTGAGATTTTATTTAAAATGCCCAATTTTTAAAATGCTTGTGGGCCAAATAAAATACTACTATTGCCCATAGCCCTACCACTTTGCAGCTACAGCTTTATGCTTCTATAGTAGTTACCTTTAAAGAACTCAGAGTACAAGAAACATTATCAAAAGAAGGGGAAAGGCAGACCTCCAAACTGATAAGTCTTATAAACAGGAGGTACTTCTCCTTCTTCTAACAGTGACAGCTACCTGTAATATCACCTTTGGCCTCTAAGCCCATATCTCCAGAAGAACGCCGAGAAGAAAGCTTAGGAACTGTTTCTGCTGTTCGGTTGAATGTTCGCCTTCTCCTTCTCAGGCTACTGAGTTTTCCAGGCTCCTCCATGGACTGATTTAACACAGATTCTTCCATTAACAAATCTGATTCTAAGAAGGAAAAATTTTTTTAAAGAATCTTTAGATATAGGGGAACCTTCTCAACTATAAGATGTAAGTGTTGTTTGTTTGTTTAAACCTTGATTTTTCTCTTTAACTATTGCTTAGGATTTTACGGCCTAATGAAAAGCTTTAGAATACAATGACCCTGTAATGAGGTTTCATTATTCTAGGAAGAACGAGTATTAATAAATTATGGGATCAGCAGGACAAATCTGCCATTCATGTGCTATATTAAATATTAATGTAATGGTTTCAGTTATGGAACCAACAGGATACCCACTTACATTGGATCATTAGAAAGATTTCCAGTGTAAGTTATGGTACCCATCCCATCTACCTCAAAGTTCTAATTGTCAATGTGTGTTTGTAAGAAAGGAAGCAGGAAGCACAAGTAAAGAAAATCTGCAAAAATAAGTAAGATTGACAGACCCCTGGCAAACCTGACTAAAATAAGAAGAGAAAAAACCCAAATCAGTAAAATCAGAAATGCAAAAGGGGAGATAATAACAAACACCATGGAAGTCCAGGAAATCATCAGAGACTACTTTGAGAACCTATATTCTAACAAATTTGAAAATCTTGAAGAAATGGACAGATTTCTAGATACTTACAACCATCCAAAACTGAACCAAGAGGAAATTAATCACCTGAATAGATCTATAACACAAAATGAAATTGAAGCAGCAATAAAGAGTCTCCCAAAAAAGAAAAGTCCAGGACCTGATGGATTCTCTGCTGAATTCTATCAGACCTTTAAAGAAGAACAAATACCAATCCTCCTTAAACTGTTCCATGAAATAGAAAGGGAAGGAACATTGCCTAACTCATTTTATGAAGCTAATATTACTCTCATCCCAAAACCAGACAAAGACACCTCCAAAAAGGAGAACTACAGGCCAATTTCCTTCATGAATATCAATGCAAAAATCCTTAATAAAATAATGGCAAACCGAATCCAACAACACAGCAGAAAGATAATATACCATGACCAAGTCGGCTTCATCCCAGGGATGCAGGGGTGGATCAACATACACAAATCTATAAATGTAATACAGCACACCAATAGAAGCAAAGACAAAAACCACTTGATCATCTCAATAGATGCAGAAAAAAAGTCTTCGACAAGATCCAACACCACTTCATGATAAAAGCTCTAAGAAAACTAGGAATAGAAGGAAAGTACCTCAACATTATAAAGGCTATATATGAAAAACCTACAGCCAACATCATATTTAATGGTAAAAAACTGAAACCACTTCTCCTAAAATCAGGAACAAGACAAGGGTGCCCACTATCCCCACTCCTATTCAACATAGTAATAGAATTTCTAGCCAGAGCAATAAGGCAAGAAGAAGAAATAAAAGGAATACAAATAGGTAAAGAAACTGTCAAAGTATCCTTATTTGCAGACAATATGATCCTATACTTTAAAGACCCAAAAAACTCTACCCAAAAACTCCTAGACACCATAAACAGCTATAGCAAGGTGGCAGGATACAAAATCAACTTACAAAAATCATTAGCTTTTCTATACACCAACAACGAACAAACTGAGAAGGAATATATGGAAACAATTCCATTCACGATAGCCTCAAAAAAATCAAATACCTAGGAGTAAATGTAACAAAGGATGTGAATGACCTCTACAAGGAGAATTACAAACTCCTGAAGAAAGAGAGCGAGGAAGACTACAGAAGATGGAAAGATCTCCTGTGCTCATGTATTGGTAGAATCAACATAGTAAAAATGGCTATACTACCAAAAGCAATCTACACATTTAATGCAATTCCCATCAAAATCCCAATGACTTTCATCACAGAAATTGAAAAATCTACCCTAAAATTCATTTGGAAACACAAGAGACCGCGAATAGCCAAGGCAATACTCAGAAAAAAAGCAATGCTGGAGGTATCACAATACCCAACTTCAAACTATATTACAAAGCAATAGCAATAAAAACAGCATGGTACTGGCACAAAAACAGACATGAAGACCAGTGGAACAGAATAGAGGACCCGGATATGACTCTATACAGCTATACTCACCTTATTTTTGACAAAGGTGCCAAAAATACATGACAGAGAAAAGACAGCCTCTTCAACAAATGTTGCTGGGAAAAGTGGTTATCTGTCTGCAAGAAACTGAAACTAGATTCATGTCTATCACCCTGTACTAGTATCAACTCAAAATGGATCAAGGACCTTAATATCAGACCTGAAACTCTGAAGTTAGTACAGGAAGGAGCAGGAAACACTCTGGAAGTAATAGGTATAGGCAAGGATTTCTTCAATACAACCCCCGCAGCCCAGCAACTAAGAGAAAGGATGGACAAATAGGACTTCATAAAATTAAAAGCTTATGCACAACAAAAGAAATGGTCTGTAAACTGAAGAGGCCACCCACAGAGTGGGAGAAAATATTTGCCAGCTATACATCAGACAAAGGACTGATAACCAGAATATACAGCGAACTTAAGAAACTAAACTTTCCCTAAATCAACGAAGCAATAAGGAAATGGGCAACTGAACTAAACAGAACTTTCTCAAAAGAAGAAATTCAAATGGCCAAAAAACACATGAAAAAATGCTCACCATCTCTACCCATAAAGGAAATGCAAATCAAAACCACACTAAGACCCCACCTCACCCCTGTTAGAATAGCCATCATCAAAAGCACCACCAACAACAAGTGTTGGCGAGGATGCGGGGGAAAAAGGAACCCTGGTACACTGCTGGTGGGAATGCAAGCTAGTGCAAACACTCTGGAAAAAAATTTGGAATCTTCTTAAAAATCTAAACATAGATCTGCCATATGATCCAGCAATCCCACTCCTAGGGATATACCCAAAGGAATGTGACTCAGGTTACTCCAGAGGCACCTGCACATCCATGTTTATTGCAGCACTATTCACAATAGCCAAGTTCTGAAAACAACCAAGATGCCCCACTACTGATGAATAGATCAAGAAAATGTGGTATTTATACACAATGGAATTTTACTCAGCCATGAAGAAGAATGAAATCTTATCATTTGCAAGTAAATGGATGGAACTGGAGAACATCATTCTGAGCGAGGTTACCCAGGCTCAGATAATCAAAAATTGTATGTTCTCCCTCATATGCAGACTTTAGATCTAGGGAAAATACAGTAATGTTGTTGGACTTGGGTCACATGGCAAGGGGAGCACATATGGGAGGTAAGGGGATAGGTAGTAAACCCAAAACATGAAAGCGTTTGATATCCCCCCCACTGCAGAGGAACTAATACAGAAACCTTAAAGTGACGAGAAGGGGATCAGGAACCAGTGTAAATATCAGTTAGAAATGAATCAACTTGGGTTGTAACACACTTGTGCATGGAAGCAATGCTAGGAATCTGTCTGTATAGCTGTTCTTATCTTAACTAGCAAAAATGCTTTGTCTTTCTTATTAGGCTTATGTCTTCTCTTCAACAAAATTAGACATAAGGGCAGAACAGGTTCTGACTGGAAGTGAGGGGAGGAGGTAGGGAGGGTGGGGACGGGGGACAGGAAGGAGAAATGACCAAAACAATGTATGCATATGTGAATAAATGAATTAAAAAAAAAAAGAAAATCTGCAAATAACCTAAAACCCCCATTTTGTCATTTATTTCAAACTTCCTTCACGCAATTTTTAAATTTCATTTCATTTATTTTTGTAGTACGTGGAATTGAATGCAGGGCTTCACGCTTGCTATCACTCAATTCTTTTATTAGAAGCTCATCATCTAGTGGCCAAACTAATTTTTGAGTTTCATTTTCTCTGCTCCTGATGAGGAATTTAATAATGAAACAGCCAAAGGGGAAAAGACTGGGAAAATAACCAACAAACTAAATGATAAAGCCTTAAACTATCCTGAGCTGAACAACCTCCAGCTTTTCCTTAACTAAAATTATGCTCATGTATGTAAATTTTTCCTCATGTATATATTAAGAAATATCCAAGCAGAACAGCTGCATTACTTCCCCTTCCAGCTCCCAGTACTTACCTCCATAAATCAATACATGTACAGAATACCACTGCTAAGTGGGCCTGCGTCCAAGAAGAGAGGTGGGCCTGACGTTCTCCAGATTTTACATAGCACAAAGGTGTATCTGTGAAGTGGCTAGGTAATCCCTCACCACTACCAACCTCCTGCTCTTTGCAGAGGCTCTCAACTGTGTGACCTTGGACAAGTCATTTAACCATGCTGTTTCCATTTCCTCTTTGGCAAAGTGGAAAATAAAATCCCATTTGCTTCAAAGGTTGTTATGAGAATGAAATGAGTTAATATTTGTAATGCACATTAAATTTTATTATATGTCTGAATGTAATAAGCATAACATAAGTGTTTGTTAGACCAATGAAAACTGAAAGTTTTGAAATCTCACAAGTAGGGAAATTGAAACCACTTCAGTAAGATTCATCCCAACATCACCTACGAGTTTCTGCTATGAATCCAAATGAAGAATCAATCTATTTTGTGAATAAGGGCTATCTTTATAAAAATAGGTGCATCAAAAACTTTACAAACCAAGCTGTTTGAAATAGTTCTCCAGTGAACTCCATGAATTCTTCTCAATTAATGATTTCACAAGTCCCCATGGTTGTTTTCTGTATTTCAAATCTGTAGAAACTCTAATAGGATAAGAATGAAAGAAGAATATTTATTTAAGGACAGACTTTAGTTATCTTAAAATTGCAATTACAGATTACATTAGGTGGAAAGCCAAAAGGACTCAAAGTCATTAAGGTTATAAAAGAAAATTTGTTCACTAATAATGACTTCTTTGAAAAAGACTACTGTGAACTGCTAATTATTTCATCAAATTTTCCTTCAAAGTATTTGCCATTTTATTCATTTCCTTTCACTTGCCCTGAATTTTCCTTACCTAAATAGCAATCAAGGTTGCAAATAAATGCTATATTTTCTAAATGCCTTATGTAAAAAAATCTTTAGTGGTCACACATTAGTTGAAAGTAGCTGCATTAACCAGGACTAGGCCAGGCATATGATGGCCTGTCACTCTGTAAGGCACCAACATGCCTTATTTCCCACTGTAGCAGAGTCAACTACTTCTCACCATGTGCTACCCCCAACTCCCAGCCCCTGGGCCCTTAAACAGGGTCAGATGACTAGTTCTGGCCATGAGAGCAATTCCATTGCTTTCTCTTCCTGTGGCAACTAAACACTTATTCTGGATTGTGTAGCTCCAGGATATCAAAGCATCAGCTGGAGTCCCACTCCTCTTCTGACCACTGTTGGACATGTAACTTAGGCGAGAGATAAAGCTTTGCTGTGTAAAGGCTAAGAGTTCAGGATTAATATGTTACCAAAGTATAATTTAGCCTATTCTGGCTAACACGCTCACTTTCAATAGCTCACCTTAGCCTGCATTTCTGTTTTGCAGACCGGATGATGCAGTATCTGTTCAGGGTATAGAAGTAATCATGGTAGGGAACATCGTGTGTCAGAACTTCTGAATCTACTAAATAAAATTGTGCTTCCCGACTTTCTTTATACAGTGTCTGCCAAAATAAGATTTGAAAGTTTTCATGTACAATTTAAATATCTTATAAGTTTGTTGGCAATTCAGAACATCTATGCTAAAATTGCCTCTCAGAAATATTAAAGACATAAGTAGTCTATATAGCAAGCTAGAAGGAAGAGCCTCCATGTTGGCTGTGCTGCCTAGGAACTGAGAAGGAAGGGAGCTGCAGAAATAGATTTTGCTGTCTCCTTGTCATTTCATTAACAACTTTTTCTTGTAGGCATGAGGAGGGGAAAATAATTAATCTTCCTTGTGCATTAATTAGCTTATAAAGAGGACTAAATGAAAAGTTGAATTAACAATTCCAAACTTTAAGGGCTGGGGATATAGCTCAGTGGTAGAGTTCTTGCCTACCATGTACAAGGCCCTGGGTTCAATCCTCAACACCACAAACACACACACACTCAAAATACAATTTTTTTTGCTTGGATGTGCATTTTTTTAGTTATTCACTTATTCACATGTGCATACATTGTTTGGGTCATTTCTCCTCCCTACCCCCCTCCCCCATCCTCTTCCCCCCTCCCCCCCTCAGTTCCAGGCAGGTCCTGTTCTGTCCTTATCACTAATTTTGTTGAAGAAAAGACATAAGCATAGTAAGGAAGACAAAGCATTTTTGCTAGTTGAGTTAAGGATAGCTATACAGAAATATTCCCAGCATTGCTTTTGTATACACGTGTTACAACCCATATTGATTCAACTCTAACTGATCTTTACACTGGTTCCTGATCCCCTTCTCATGTTGACCTCTGTCACTTTAAGGTTTCTTTATTAGTTCCTCTGGAGTGGGGACATCAAATGCTTTCATGTTTTGGGTTTTCTACCTATTCCTATGTCTCCCATATGTGCTCTCCCCTTGTCTTGTGATCCAAGTCCAACCACATTGCTGCATTTGCCGTAGATCTAAAGTCCGCATATGGGGGAGACAAAATACAATTTAAAATCAGTTGAACAATACAAGGCTCCACCCAAAAATTCACCAAAGTTTAACCAGCCTTCACCAAAAAGCAAAGAAGTAGGAATAACCAGATAAAACATTCCTTTCCCTTAACAGGATTTTAAAGTAGCTGTCACCTAAACCTTTCCCGCTTTCACCACACATATTCTACCTATCTTCTAAGGGGAGAGGGTTTTTTCAGGTTATCAAAGACTCCCTAGCACCAAAATACTGAGCTTTTCCTATGTTTGACAATCTTTTTAAAAATTCTAAAAGGTAAGGAGTCACATCCTTTTTAACAATGATGGACAAAACTGCAAAGCACACCTAGTTCAGATGTCAAACAGGCATTCCAACTGTACTTCAGATATTATTCTTCAACACAGATTGGCCAGACACATATTCCACTCTAAGGCAGCGCTACACTGGACACAGAGGAGGAACATTCAATTGCTCATGTTTAGCTCTGAAAACTCAAGTGTGTCACAGCAGTCATCTACTTATTTGGCCCTCACTTTTGACATGATTCTGTAAATCAGATTTTTAGAAGTGTTGTCTTTTAAATCTTCTATTATGAAAAAACCCAAACACACATAAGAGTAGAAATGTGCATGCTGAGCCCTCAGAAACTCATCCACCACCTTCAACAGCATTAACCACTGCTTGGTCTTATTTCGTTCATACCCCATCCTCACATTCCTTCCCTCTACCACCATCCTTAGCCTGTCTAGATTAGTTTTAAAAGGAATGTCAGGCATCAAAACGATTTCATTTATAAATATTTTAGCATATCTCTTTATAAATTCTTTAGTACATCTCTTCTAAAAAATAAATAGCATGTTCTTTAAAACATAGCTACAGGGCTGGGGACATAGCTCAATGGCAGAGCATTTGCCTAGTGTGCATGGATTCCACAAAACAAACAAACAAGCATATAGCTACAGTATCATCATTGCACATAACAACATTCCCTAAATCTCATACTTTTTTTTAAATAGGTGGTTTCTTTGATTAGGATTGGATTAATGTGGTTTAGATGCCTTGTCAGTCTCTTATCCGATGAAAGTTTCTCCTTTCTTTTTTTCATGCCATTTATTTCTTGAAATTGTCTTGTAAACTGGTCACTATGACTGGCATCCTCTCTTACCACACACAAGTTTTTTGAAATACCAACAAAACAGACATACCTGCTTCTCAGTGGCAGCAGTGTATTTTCCAGTAAGTGGATTATTAAGAATGACAGTATAGGTCATGGTTCTCAGTTGATCACCTCCAGATTCAACAGTCCAAGGTGTAGATGCTACATCTAATCACAGAAAAATAGAACAAGTTAGTTCTAGAAGTTTGAAGGGTATGATTTTAAACAGAATCAAAAGTATGGTTGTAGAACTATTTAAAATTTTATTTTTGGCCTGTACTAGTCCTCCATTACTGCATGTACTTAACATTATGGAAAACAATGGCTGCGCTTTAAAAATTAAACATGATGCAGCAAGTCTACTTCTAGGTATATACTCAAAAGAAATGAAAACAAGGACTTGAGTGAGTACTTCCACATTGGTGTTCACAATAGTAAGTAAAAGGTGTAAATAACCCAAATGTCATTAACAGATGAGTGAATAAGCAGAATATGATGTATATGCATGCAATGGGATATTATTCTGCCTTAAAAGAGAATGAAATTTGGCCACTTCCTATAACATGGATGGATGAACCTTGAAGACATTGTACTAAGTATAATAAAACTTTTCATTAAAGGACAAATATTGTATATTTCCACTTATAGGAGATACCTAGAGTAGTTAAACTCTTAGAGGCAGAAAATAGAATGGTAGTTGCCAGGAGCTGGAGGAGGGACAAAAGGACAGTTTTTATTTAAAAGTTTCAGAGTTTCACTTTGGGATAATGAAAAGTTCTGGAGATAGATGTTAGTCATGGTTACACAACAATGTAAATGTGCTTAATGCTCTGAATGGTACACTTACAAATGGTAAATTGTATGTTGTGTATATTTTGTCATAATTTTAAAAATTGCTAAGTCTAGGCAAAGGATATATGGGTGATTTAGATTATTTATGCAGCTTATCTGAAGGTTTACATTTTTCAAAGTAAAAAGTTTGGGTAAGAACACTTAAAACTGACCTTTTAACTATAAGTAGTGTCATACAACTATAAACAGAGATTAAAGAAAATACCAATTTAAAAGGTCTCTAATTAAAATTGGATCCAGTGGTAACCATTTTAATGTTGGAATTAGATTGAGTCCACAATTAATTGATTATACAAAATTAATAAATTCTTTTTATTTTTAGAAAGAAGTCTTTGAAACTTAGTCTTAAGAAATATAACTTTGATGATCAGGTAACAATTTCCAAGGACAGAGTATGGTTTCTGGTCATGAGCAGATTCTGTTTTGAGGAAAACCTTCTGACTAATTCTAGATCTACCTTGCAATGTACCTATAACGGTTTAGTCTTGGATTTAGCCAGAAGCCTCTCATTAACAAAACCTTTTTTAACACCAAATACTGGATATAGTCATCCATGTTGAAACCTGATATGATATTAGCAGTAAATGCAATTTTGTTGCAAAAAACAAACTTCATTTAGCTGGTTCCTCTTGGGCCTTTTCAGCCATAAAAATGGCAGTGCAATGTCACCAGGCATCACTTGGAAAATTAAAAGAAGTGTTATGTTTAACTCTTCTGAAATATCAGATTCTCCAGGTAGAAATGAATTAGCAATAAAATATAAGATAGGCTCAGAAGAGATATAATAAGTTAAATATAATCCTGAGTAAAGAGGAAGATTTATAACTCTGAAATAGTCCACATTTTAAAAAGTGGAATAAAAAAATGATTTTTTAAAACCATCCTAATATAATCACAAGACATTCTAGCCAAAATCTCTTTGCTACTCTACTATAAAAATAAAAAAATAATATTTATACTTAGAATCTATATCAATAATATAATCTGTGAATATATACTTACGTTTATGTAAAAGTTTCATATAAAGGAGTAACATCTAATTGTTAAAGGAATAACATCCCAGGTAATAAAAATCCCTGTATTTAAATTGATTATAGAATTACTTTCTTATTGACTATGTCAAATGGCTTACCTTGTAGTAATTTCTGCTGCTGTTGTGTTCTAATTTTATATAGTAAGTACCCAAAGTTAATAAAATATCTGAAAATATTTAAAGTAAACTCATCTTTAAAATAACTATGTCTATTTGAAAGATTTACCAAAATAGACCACTTAACACATGATCAATGAAATTCTTCTTATGAGTACACCCAAATGAAACTTTAAAAAATGTGACCTCAAGTGTATAGCTCCATGATTTTCACAAAGGGAACACACACGCATACCACAACTCAGACTAAGATACACAACTTCTTACTAATAGCCCCAAAACTTCCTCTCAGTCTTTACCACCCGACTCTCCACGATGCTAACTACTATGGCTGACTGTATGTCTATAAATTTCTTTTGCCTGTTTCTAAACTTTACTTAAAGAAATTAGATAGCATGAACTCTCATATCTGCATGAACTCTTGTATCTGATTTCTTTTGCTTAACATTGTGTCTGGGAAATTTCCTCATATTGGTTTAAGTAGCAGTAGTTTGTTACTGCTTTCACTTGTATATAGTGTTCTTTTGTGGAAATTTACACAGTTTATTCTACTATTGATGGATGTCTGAAATGTTGCACATTAGGCATCATAAATAATGCTGCTGTGAACACTGCAGTAGATGCCATGCTGAGTGCATATGTGCCCATTTCTGCTGGGTATATACCTGGGAGTGTAACTGCCAAGTCAGAGACACAGCCGAACCATTTGGCAAAGTGGTTGCTCCGTTTATACTCTACCAACATCCAGGTGTTCCACCCATCTGAATACGTACATTAATGAATAAATGTAGTTTAAGTTTTTAAAAGGTCTGAACTTAATTGTAAGTAGCATCTGCCTAATTAAACAATTATACTGTTTACATGTGAATTAACCAAGCATTTAAATACCACTTTATTTGTCACCAAAATAAAATCAAAGCATGTCTAGTTTTTTCCCTTGGCAACATAAGTCAGTTTATACAGGCTCAACCCTCTAAGGATAATAAAAATCCTTCCAAATGTATCATGATGTAAGGACAGAAGGGCCAACCTATTATATTTCTGGAACTGACAAATCTCTGCATAAAGCGTGAATTAGTGAAGAGCAAGTCGAACATTCTCTCGGCACTGATGTGGAAAACACGGTTGATGTAAAGTCTTCCTTGAAGATCCTTGTCAGGAATATTTTCTAGAGAAACAAGAACACAGACCAAAAAAGAAGAGATTAAGGGAAAGTAATTTCAAGGTTTGGCGGTGTTTTGTGTGTTTTATTTTGTTTTTGGCACACAATGGTTTTCAAAAGTGTTTATAATGACCAACACATTCCAGGACATTATTATAACTCACCTACAACTTAACACTGACTCCCTCAAGACAAGGATCACTGTATTCACAACTTATTCCCAAAACCACACAATAAAAGAACAGAAAATCTTTCTGAAAAGTATCCTTCAAAGCTAAATAATGCCCAGTGGAATATTACATTTTTTCTGGGCATACTTGAGTATGATAAGGATGTTGTAAATTACTGCTCACTTCTCTCATGTTCCCTGGAAACACTAGATAAAAGCTTACATGATACTTACAACTTCAGACACTATGCTAAGTACCCTGTAAGCATTGACCCTCTTGCCTTCACTGCAATCCTCTGAGACAAAGGTTATTATCATCATCATCTCCATTTCACAGATGAAGAAAGTGAGGCACAGAGAGAATTACCAAGACTCCACTGCTGGTGACTAATAAGGAATTTGAACCCACTCCAGTTCCACAACACACAAACATAACCTCTACTTTCTGGCAGTACTGGGATTTGAACTTAGGACTTCACACTCTACCACTTGAGCCATGCCCCAGTCCTTTTTGCTGTTAGTTTGTTTTTCAGATAGGGTCTCACACTTTTTCCAGGGCTGGCCTCAGACCATGATCCTCCTACCCGCACCACTCTAATAGCTGGGATTACAGGCACGAACTACCAGACATAGCCCTACATAATTTCTATTTTATGCTGACAGAAAGAGCTTAATTTAGAACAATTTTTAAAAAGACAGCTAGGAATAAGAGCCTAAGATAATAAAGGAAATAGTGAAGAGCAATCCAACATGAAATTTTAATGATTTGTGGACTGGGATTAGTTATTATTTCAAGAATTATCCCCATCAATATAGAACAAAAACTATGACAAAAGCCCCTCAACTTTCAGAAATCAAGTTCTAAAAATTATCTGCCTAAAGCACTTGTCAATGTTAATCCGTGGGATGCTGTCTAGTTAAATAAAAGGACTGTGCTCTACGAATGAGAAAAACCATTCCAGCTCTGGCATCACCCTAACTACTGCTGTTTCCCCCTCATTAAATGATTTGCGTTTCTCTACTCTCCAAGTGCAAAGAACTTAGGAATCCCAGGTAGATATTGACTTACTGTCTCCTTGCAACAACACCACATACATAGGCAGAAATGATTTGCTGCAATTTCAAATAACAGGCAATTTGCTAAGGTTTTGTGGGGTGACTTTCCAATTAGACTTGGAAAACGGTTTTCACTGACAGAAGTATTATATGTTCATTGTAGATACAACTCAAATCTTCACATAGAAAGTAAACAACTATAGGTGATTCTATTTATCCTGCTCATTTCTTCACAGAACCTGTCCCAATCTTTAATTTCATTGGTGGCTGATTCACTGCTTTATCATCTTCTCCTGCACTTGACTCTAACTTCCATGAGACTAGGGACCATGTCAGTTTTAAACACCTATGTAACTCCAGGGCTTGGCACATAAGAAATGTAAGTAACTATTTTTGAATGAGTAAATTACTACTGAAAATACTAAAAATATATTAAGATCTATTTATATAGGACTTTGAATTTGCAACTTTTTCTAAAAAGAGCTTTTAAGGAAACTTATTATGATATAATAGTTGTACAGGGGGGACACACTGTGACATTTACATATGTACTTAATTGGATTCACCCCCTCGGATGTTCTCCCTCATTCTCCCTGAGCCCCCTTCTTAGAACAAGTTCAACAGTCATTGGCTGAGGTGGAGGCTCTCGAACTTTTTGCCTGGGCTGGCCAGGCAATCTTCCTGACCCCAGTCTCTGAGTAGCGAGGATAATAGGCTTGAGCCAACACATCAGCGAGTACCGCTATTATTCTCGCTTTATTTCTAAACGCATGCATAGCTTTTATGAGCTTTAATGTTGTCCCTTATATAACTTATCACCAATGACACTTTTATAGAAACTCAATAATGAAACTAATTTTTAAACTCCATTCTTACAAAAGAGTAGGTGAGAAAAAGGAAAAACAAAAAAAAAACAGAAATTATTTCTTGTTTTCATGTCACTTACCTATCTGGCCACTGGGTGCCAGAGTAGATCTTCCTAAAGTCCTAAGTTCAGTCAGGCAGAGTTAACTAATTCATACCCTGCTGTATACTGAGGCGTAGATGTTAACAGTCCTAATAAAGCAGTCACTACCCTTGATCTTTCCCAGTGGCTCCACTGTACTAACTTCAATGTCAGTGATCTTATAATTTAAGAAAAAAAAAAAAAGACTCCTTAAAATACCTTAAGTACAACAAGCCCAGGTTATAGAGAAAGTAGAGAGAACATGATTTGCTATAAAGTTTCCTTTAAACAACTACTTTTAGTTTTTAGTATATTCTCAACTTTTGCCTGCCTCCCTCTTCCCTGCCTCTCCCTCCTCTTGCCCCTCCCTCCCCTCTGTGAGCATGCCCTGAGGAAAGGATCTGTGAGGACAAAGCAAGAAGGTGGCCATCTACAAGCCAGAAAGAGTCCTCACCAGAAACCGACTGTGCTGGACCCTAAACTGGGACTTGTATCCTCCACAATTATAAGAAAATACATTTCTGTTAAGCCAAACAGTCCGTGTCTTTTGATAGGTCAGCCACGCTAATATAATTAGTAACCATGGAAGGAGTACACTGGGCAGTCTTGGCAAGCCTCGTTCTCTCTTCCTTTCTTCCTTCCTTCCTTCCTTCCTTCCTTCCTTCCTTCCTTCCTTCCTTCCTTCCTTCCTTCCTTTCCTTCTTCCTCCTCCCTCCCTCCCTCCCTCCCTCCCTCCTTCCTTCCTTCCTTCCTCTTTCTCTCTCTCTCTCCTCTCCTCTTCTCTCTCTTTCTCTCTCTCTCGCTCTCTCCTTCTTTCTCTCATGTTGAGAAAAGAGTCTTGCTATTTAGCTTACACTGAACTTGTGATCCTTCTGCCTCAGCCTCCCAAGTGCTGGAATTACAGATGTGCACCACTATGCCCAGCTACGCCTCTGCTCTTTCTTCTAGGACCTAAGTGCTCTAGAAGCTGATGCTCCTCCAGGGCAGCCCTCCCTCCACCTGGGGAGGAGGGTGAACATCACAGGTGACTGGTGGGCGAGTCAGCAGCCCATTTACCTTCGACACATGTATACCTCTAACTTCGCCACTTTAAAGTTAAGCTAAATTTCTGTTGACCTTCTAAAACCAAATTAGTTACTTTTTAATGCCAAATGGAATATTATTATTTGTTGTCTTTGTAATAAATTTCAACTACAGAATGTTCCTCTGAAAGTGGATTGAAATTTTTAAAAATCTTTAAAATCTTAAAAATTAATCTTAAAAAAATTAACTGAAAGTTGATCACAATTTTAAAAAACTAAATTCAGAAGTAATTTCGATGAGCTGTTCATGCTCCTGCTTCCAAAAACTCATCCTACTGTTCTGAAATACAGATGAAGGTTGCCTCTTCACACACAGACTTGAATACTCTTATAAGTACTATCAGTGCATAGTTTTTTTAAAAATTCCTTTCTAAAAATTGTGGGGAACTTTGGTTCCCTTTTGGAAGCAAAATAATAATTTAAACTTATATTTATCTCAGAATATGCCCTTACCATGACTATTTGCATTCATAATTATATAAAGATATAGGCTTGGATTAGCTCTTTGCTAAGGTGTCTCTTTAAAAAGGAAGAAGAGAAAAAAGAATTTGGGAAGTACTTGGAGTAAAACAAAAAGAACACTGGACTGAGACCGGTCCCTCACCCTAGTTCTGTATTGTTAACTAGCTGCATGATTTTAGACTAAACCCCTCTAGCTCTTACTTCCCTGCCAATAAAATGAAAGATAACCTAGATGAACTGATGGGTGGGTCCCTATAGAATGTGAGCATTTTACACTGCCTGGTCTGTGAGAGTGGACATGTAGGATTTTATGAACAGTACTGCTCCACATGGATTGCCAAAAGCTTGAGTTTTTAAAAGCTAAATGTGATAAAGACTTTCAAATTCAAGGCTTCAGAAGAAGTGGAGATGGGTGGGATTTAGCTGCTTCTCATTTGAGGATAAATTCTCAACATGTGCATCCTAATACAAAGAAAAACATTAAAAAACATACCTGAAATTTATAAGAAATTCTTTACCTTCATCCAAAGAATCCGAAGTGCTGCTTTTGTCCAGAGAAAGATACTCATTTTTATTCAAGTCCAGTGATTTTGATGGCACTCTATTTAACCTCTTCTCTGAAGTTAATAAAGGACTCTTTTTGATATGCTTCTCGCTTTGGGACTCCTCTTTCCCTAATCCCTAAAAGGCAAACAGTACAGGTGAAAAATAAAAATAGGTTTGAAGTTTAGATTTACAGTAACAACTTTAATATTAAAGATGCTTTGAAATGTTGCTCTTTGAAAAATATTTACAGTATTTTGTTCATTGGGGATGAATCTCATTTCTAATGGGCCCACATTTAAGCAGATTAAAATATATTTCCTATTATAAAGAATATAGACAGTTGCCTGTATTGAAAAGTAAGTCACTATTTTAGTGGTTGGCATGTGGCTGATGTTTAGTTCTTCAAATATTCTTCTATATTTCAACAATTTTTATAAAAAGTATTAATTTTATAATTTAAAAAGCATATTTTCATCTTGAGAAAATGTTATTTCTGACCTTTTGTTATTTCCAACTTTGTTGGAAGTGAAAATGAAACAGAGTAAGTGACATGCAATACTTGTTGACACACAAGAATCCCACTATGCTGCTTTTGAATGTAAAGGAAAAAAAAAAGAACCAAGCTTCATATAACTTGTATTTTATAACCTGAAAACATCTATACTAAACATCAATGAATGTATAATTGATCTTAAAACATTGTTACTCTATATTCTATTCCTTTACTGAAAGAAAAGGTGACTTCCTTTAGGCACAAAAACTAGAGGCAAGAACCAACAGGTTAATTATTTCCAGAGGAGGTGCTAAAGAAATTATCAGAGGTTGTCAGAGGACTCAGGTAGAGGGTAGCAGTTCTGAGAACCCAGTTTTCAAAGTTGGACCTTTGTAAAAGGATAAGCAGACTGCAAGAAATCCCCTATAGTGTTACCTTCCCCAACTGAGTGGTTTCATCTTCTCCGTGAGAGCATACAGAGAGATTAACAACCAGAATCACATTTCTTGCACTGGTCCCTAAATATCTCTAAATGTATAAATTTTGCAAGAAATTCACCCCACAATGGATAGATGATGGTTATCTACGACAAGTTTATAACTTTGGGGCCTTTTACATAAATATATTCTCTTTCAGAGTTTTCCCAACATTTACTCAGAAACGACACAGGGTGTTCCCTGGGGAGGATAGAAAAGGCCACAGGCAGGCTCACTGTCAATTTTAACAGCTTCTGGTTTTTGGATTCTTAATGTGTGCTAGGAATTGCTCTAAGTACTTTCATATATGTTAATTCATTTAATTCTTATTTTACAAACCCTCCCTTTATAGTTGAAAAAACAAAGCAAAGTTTAAGTAATTAACATAGTAATTAATTATTTAAGGTCGTATGTGAGCAAGTGGCAGAGGTAAGATTTGAAGCCAGAGCACTATTTTAAACCAATAAATTTGGCTGTGGCCCCAACTTTCATTCCCAGTCAGGAGAATAAAAGCTCTAAAGTAAGAGCACTCTTAGCTTTCAAATAGTTTTTAAATACCATTTTTGTTTTCACTAAGAAACGACTCCTCAAGAAAATGAGTGACAAAACACACAAAAAATATGCTTGGAACTTACTGCTGTGCCAAAGAGAAAGGAAACCATCAAAGATTACTGGTCATTTAAAAACACAAAGGAGCCCACCTGAGGAGGCTCCCATTGACAGAGAGGACAAACTAATTATCAAATAATAATAATAATAAACCAGGTGTGGTGGCTCACATCTGTAATTGTTGCACTAGTAAAAGGGAGGCAGGAGGAGCCCCAGTTTATGGCTGGCCTGGGCTTACATAGAAAGTTCAAGACCCACATAGTTAAATGCCAGATCAGGCTGCATAGCAAGACTTGTCTAAAAAAAAAAAAAGTAATAATAATAGTAATGACTCCAAGTGATCAAAACTAATTAAAGTTTAAAAATCACTTATAATGATACTTGAAAAAAACATGAATGAAGAAACTAGCCAAGTAGAATTCTTAGTATTTATCTGGACCAGTCTTCTTTGGCAGGTGGCTTCTGGAGCATCAGTTTTTACTCAGCCTGCTGCTCAAGGGCTCAGCTCTCCACTCAAAACAGATCATTCTCTCCACCACACACACTACTCACCTTGAGGAAAATTCTGCTAACTACAACATTCTCATCTTGTTATTTTTCTTAATGATATTGATGCTGAGGTACCTGATAGCTCTGTACCTCATCCAGCTCTGAACAAAACCACAGAACCTCTGCTACTTGCAGGCGTAAAACTTTTCTAATATAAAGTAGCAGCCTGACATCTTAGGTTTTAAAACATTTTGTAGATTGCATTTTCACTTGATCTTAAATATGATTAATGCAGTATCAGATGTATTTTTAAAGGAACAGCATATACTAACTCCTTTTGATGAATTTCCATCCAATGACTCTGTTTCTGCAACTCGAGTAATTGAGTCCCGAGTAAAACTGATGGATTTGGATAATTTTTCATCTTTTTCCCCAGAATCATCCACAGTGCTTCTTCCTGGACTTCTGTAAGAAACACATTATAGAAATACAAGGTCACCTCCACACAAATAAGTGATTTTGTCTCCTCACTACTCTATTATAAATCATTTTGACAGCAAATTATTGTAATTAACAAATAAGCCTCTACTTATAACAATCACATGCCAAATGACTTTATTCCTAAAGATAAAACAGATATGCTTACACGAGACTATGAATTTCAGAAAGCATTTTAAAAATTTACAAAAAAATTTACATCCACTCACAGATGAGTAGACTGAGGAAGAGAAAGATAAGAGCTGCCTGAGGTTGCTCAGTTACCTGGTAGCCCAGACTAGAATCCACATCTTATCTGCCACTATTTTAGGCTCTTTGCATTTGATCAGCTGCTTTTGTACCCAGCTCTGTACCAGAGAGAGACTAGTAAACTTTACAAAGAGAGCAGAACAATAGAAATTTTAACATTACAGAAAGCTAATAAAATATGCATGTGTAACCATATAAAAATACTATAAAATATTTATTTAAACTGAAACAGTATAGATGAGATCAGCCGAACTAGAGGACTACATACATGAGTAAAAATTTGTATATGCATTAAGACCTTCAAAACATTTCTGTTATAAGATTTGCAGTATATTTTTAAATAACAGTTTTATTAGGATATAATTCACATTTAAAATTCACCCCACTCCAAGTATACAACTCAGTTTTTTTTTTTGACTTTTAATTTTTTTTTCTTTTATTATTCATATGTGCATACAAGGCTTGGGTCATTTCTCCCCCCTGCCCCCACCCCCTCCCTTAGCATCCACTCCACCCCCTCCCTCTCCCCCCCCACCCCCTCAATACCCAGCAGAAACTATTTTGCCCTTATCTCTAATTTTGTTGAAGAGAGAGTATAAACAATAATAGGAAGGAACAAGGGTTTTTGCTGGTTGAGATAAGGATAGCTATACAGGGCATTGACTCACATTGATTTCCTGTGCATGTGTGTTACCTTCTAGGTTAATTCTTTTTGATCTAACCTTTTCTCTAGTTCCTGGTCCCCTTTTCCTATTGGCCTCATACAACTCAGTTCTTTACAAGGTTATGTAACCATCCCTACTACCTAATTCAACATTTTCATCAACCCCAAAAGTAACCCTGTGCCCATCAGCAGTCATCCCCATTCTCCCTTCCTCTTGACCTCAGCAACTACTTATCTACTTTCCTTATGGATTTATTGATTCTGGTTTCCATCTCACATATATGGAATTGTACAACATATGGTCTTTTCTTTACGTAATGCTCCTTTCACTGAGCATAATGCTTGCTATAGAATTTTAATGTATTGTCTTTATTTATTACTGGGCTTCAATTACCATTGGGCAAAGTGCACTTTTACTTGTATAGATCAATAAAAATGTCTACTCTTCTAAATGAATCTTTATTTGTCAAAATAATCTTTCTCTACTCTTAATTTCTTTATTGTATTATCTATTATTCCTTCATGACCCTTATCTTATATCATAATTATTGGCATCCCCACAGTACTATAAGCTCCTTTCATTAATGTATTCAATATTTACTGAGTGTCAACCTCATTTTTTTCTTTTTTGGTGGTGCTGGATATTGAACTCAGGGCCTCACACATGCTAGATAAGGGCTCTACCACTGAGCTACAGCTCTAGCCCAAGTAGCTAGGATTACAGGTGTGAACCTGACTAAAATAGTTCTACCCTAAAGGTTAATAAATCTTGACATTTTAGAGCTAGGTGCAGTGAGTCACCCAGCTATTAATCCCAGCTATTCAGAAGGCAGAGATTAGGACTGGAGGAATGGCTCAAGCGGTAGAGCGCCTGCCCAGAAGGCAGAGATTGGGAGAATCAAGGTTCAAAGCCAGCCCAGGCAAAAAGTTAGCAAGATCCCCATCTCAATCAAGAAGCCAGGTGTGGTGGCATAAGCTTCTAATACAGGTATGTTGGAGGTGTAGGTGGGAGAATCATGACCTGAGGCCAACCCCAGGCAAAAACATAGATCCTATCCAAAGAATAATAAAGTGAAAAGGGCTGCAGACATAGCTCAAGTGGCTGTGTACCAAGTAAGAGGCCCTGAGTTCAAACTCCAGTACTGCTATAAACAAACAAACAAACAAATAAATAAATCATGACATTCCAAAGGATTTTGTTGTACCTTGGCTGCACATTATCTTCAATCAACTGTGGTAACTTTTCCATCTCTTCAGCATTTAAGCCCAGCTCAGTGCCATAGTTCTGCTGAAGCAGTTGGCAGAATTCCTGTCTGGTCAGGCTCTAAAAAGACAGTAACATGACACAGACTACTGGAAAATGTAAAAGATAATATAACACAGTGATTCAAACATGAAGACTGAAGGCAAATGACCTGTGGTACAGCTACAAGGAGTGTGGTGTCAGTAGCTTTTTGACCTTTCTATACCTCAATTTTCTTTGTCTATAAAAATGGGTGGATAAAACCATTTGACAGATTTGATATGAGAAATATAGATAAAATACTGAAGGTTTTTTTGTTCTGTTTTGTTTTTGAGATGGGGGGGTCTCCCTAAGTTGCTTAGGCTAGTCTTGAACTCATGGGGCTCAAGTGATCATCCCACCTCAGCCTCCCAAGTAGCTGAGACTACAGATGCATGCCATTTAGCAAATAATGACTTTTTAATATTTAATAGAGAAAGTAAAAATATTTATAGCTTCCTTTTTTTTTTTGCTATACTGGGGCTTGAACTCAGGACCTACACCTTGAGCTACTCCACCAGCCCTTTTATTGATGATTTTTTTGAGATAGGACCTTGCAAACTGTCTGCCTGGGCTGTCTTCAAACCACAATCCTACTGATCTCTGCCTCCTGAGTGGCTAGGATTGCAGGTGTGAGCCACCAGTATCCGGCATATATTTTCCTTTTTTATGAAATAATTTATTCATAATTTCTGGCAATACTGATCTGAAATCCAACCAGCCTACCATGACCACTGCATCCTTCAGAGTCCTAAATGCCAGCTCAGAACCAATCCTTTTAATTCAAAATGTATTTGAATATTTTAATCATTTTTAAAAAGTTATATACCACTAAACTTTAAAGAATGTCTTCCTAATATATAAAATGCAAGATCCTGGGATTCAGCATATTTCCTCTGATTTGCTTTTAACAAAGTCCAACTTGTCCTTTCTTTGTAGGTAGCAAATTAGTGTTAAAATCACCAAATACAGCAAACTCACGCATAGTAGAACAAAAACAATCATATTATGAAAACCAATGGTCTGATTTCTAGAAGCATTATTCTTCACGTCTTTCATTCATTCAACAGGTATTTATTTACTGAGTTCCACTGCACTAGATGCTAAGGGGTATAAAAATGATGTCATAGTTAAGCTCTTGACTTCTGATATATTTGAAGAGACTCAGGACACTCGAGTTAAATATGACTAGATATGATTATGTATTAAAGCACTGGAAGACTCAAGGTGACTGGAAAACCTAAGGAAAGGAAATATTACTGTGGATTAGAGTGATCAGATAAAGCTCCATGATGGAAAGGACTTTCAGCTGAGATGAAGCAAAGACATGAATGGGGGAAAGAAGGAATGGGAAAAGTTGGGAGAAGGAAACCAACATATAAATACAGAGTAATTGCATGAACATGAAAAATATGTGTTTTAAAATCAGTTAATAGTTTATCAGCCTAACTGAAGAAAAAGTTTAAGTTGAAAAACAGTACATATAAATATAAACTTAGTGAGGCCAAAATGTATAAATGCCTTGAATTTATCCTGATATTCCCTACAACAAATGTCACTTCTCTTTTTGCTTTCTCCATCTTTCTCTTCTCTGCCTAGCAACAACATCTTTGTTATGTTATACTAGATGACCTTCATTACATTTCATGGAATCTCAAAGAGCTTAAGAAAAAAATTTCTGGTTTTAAACCATTAGTTTTCAATCTGCTGTGCCCAAATTATTAGGATATGGAATAGTTTATGAAAATTCAGATATTATTATCAGCATTTCATAACATCAAGTATATCCAAAATCATTTCCTACAATAAAGTTACCCATGCTATGTAAAACTTGCAAGCCTCTTCACTTTGAGCTGAGTTATTAACCTAGAGAAGAAGATAGGTGAAATAATCTATGCCTAACAAATAGCAATACTTTAATATTGACTATTTAATTAGAACCACTTTTTTGGTAGACAAACTCTTTTGAAATACAGTATCTGAAGAAGAAAAATAAAAAGAACCATTAGAGGTAGAGAAAGTTCAGGAACCACTGCTTGGATCCTAAAGGAGCCCCCAACATTTCTGTTCTGAAATCCCCGCCAAAAACTCATTTGTGAACTCTTTTTTTCATTAATAACAATTCATACTACTAATTAATTCTTCTGAAGACATTTTTTTTTAAATATTTTTAGTGTCATGAAAGGATGGTTAAGTTTATAAAGAGAAACAGACAGTACTTTAATATATTTGTTCAAGATTAACCTTTCATAAAAGCTTTTCTGAAATAATGACATTTCCCAAGACAGACTAAAGAAAACAAATAAACCAATGATGAATACTCAGACAGCTTCCTAACAGTGAAAGAAATGAAATTTGTTGGTAAAAAAACTAACAACAAAAATGGTATTTTATTTGAGTACATAAATACATTTTAAATTTTTGCCAAAAGTTAATAGCAGGGTAACTTCAATATACTTCTTGATCCATTAATTAAATATTAATAGATATTAGGTTAACAGAAAGCAAAATAAAACTCATTTAATTCAACATGTAGATTTGCTCATTTGTTAAAAATGACGTTTTCTATGAAGTTGTCTAGGTGTCATAAAACACTTCTTTTTTTTACAACATGCTGAATATTCAGACATTAAAACATGCCCAGCCTGCTAGTCACAATTTGTTCAATAATCAGCAGCCAAACCAACTGGTCTAAATAACCTTAAAAAAAAAAACCTAAATTTTAAACAAAAGATGACCACCTACCTGCAAACAAAGGAGACTCTCCCCCGTTTCAGCCTACAGAGTAGTTTGGCAAAATAAAGATGAACCAAACAGTAATCAGATAAGGCTCAAAAGTCAGCAGATCAATTTCTGTCCCAGAAAGCTTTGTGTTTTAAGTATGCTGCAAAGTCTCCATTCACAGCACAGCTACAAATATTTAATGACAGCCATGCAAAATCTCTGCTTCGGTTTTCTAATTTTGTTAGGAGACGCTTTTCCACATAAAAGTCAATTTCTCGTTCATTTAAAAGCACATTACTTGTCACTTCCTGGATTGCAGTATCAACACTTTCCAAGGCTCCAGTCAGAATGTAGAATTGGAAGTTATACCTCACTCTACAGGTTCTTAAGCCACTCCTACTAGAAGAGGATAGGTAAACAGGGTTTTATTAAAGGGACAGTGACTGTTCTACACACACATTACTGACAAGATGGAAATGCAGATATCTCACTTGTGCCCAAATAATGTTAAAACGCCTACTGCAATATGATTTTAACCTCACTTGAAAAATTAACTATGTTGAAGTTTAAACTTCTCTATGATAATACGTTCAGTTTAATTCTGGCAAGGTTATTAGTACTTGTTCACATACCACTTCTTCAATAGTGATGTAGCTTTCCCATGAGACTCCTGCCTTCACAATCACCAAAGATCTTGAGTGTTGTAAATGGAAAGTCCGGAAATAGGAAGAGCCAGTACTCAGGGTGAGCAGTTCCACTGAGCACCTGCATGTCTTTCATCACTGAAAAGTTTAAGGTGACATCAATAGCTCTTTGCTTTGAAAATATTTCTGACTTTAGTCCATTCAGAAAATTTTCCTGGCAGGAACCTGGACTATAATAAACAGTACATAGAGGAGTCTCATTTACCAATTCCAGGAAATTCATTCTATAGAAGATGAATTTTCTAAATGAGAAATCAAAACTCTATCAACTCACTTCATTAATTTAGTAAAGTATATAGAAAGGTCAAATGCTACTTGATGAACTGCAATGATTAACATTTTCTAGGGTTGTTAAAATGTAATCATTTATACAATGGCAGAATGAGAGACTGGAATGACACTGGAGAATTCCATTTTCTCTAATGAAGAAAGCGGACTGTAGGGGCCAGCTTCCACTGTGTAAATACTAGTGCTTTTAGTATTTAGACATTATACTAGTTCTCACTTGGCTTACACTATGTATATACTTCTCATTGGCTGAAACTGTAGATATATCTACTTTCTTTTCTCAGCTGACCAAATATGAAAAAAATACTGTTACTGGTTTTATCTATCTCTTTCACTACCTGTAAAAATCCTTATAGCAAAGCAAACTACTGATATGTATAGCACAGCTAAATTTAGTAGCCTTAAGAGGAAAAATAGAACCCCAAACTGAGCCCCTAAAAAGCCTGACACACAAATGGTAGTAAGTAGAGAAGGAGTGACCAGCCAAAAAGATTAAGGGAAATACCAAAGAGGTGAGAGGAAAGTCCAGAGAGAATGACATCATGGAAGTCAAGGGAAGAGGTGTTTCAAAAATGAAGTGTATACAGGTGTGAAATGCTGCTGAAAGGTCAAATGAGATGAGCATGTGATGAACACATGTAGGACAAGTGTAGGACAAGGGGTGAAGCAGCCTAGCAAACCAGGTCACTGTGACCAGAGTAGTGTGCTGGGGTAAGGGAAGGAGAGAGTCAGTGAGGAAGGAGGAACAGCCAGGTCATAAAGAGCCTTGTATGCCATGCTGAATAATGTGGCCTTTGCATTATGGAAATATAAAGCCATCCAGTGAATTCAGGTAGAATAGTAACAAGTTTAGAGCTGTGTTTTCAAAAGACACTTCTAAAACCACAACTTGACAACAACTCCAAGGACAGATTAGAGTGTTAGAAAGAGATCTTTAGGAGACTATTGTGATGGCTCAAGCTAGAAACAATGAGGGCCTTGGTGAACAACTATACATGGTTGACAAAGAAGTAACAAACAAGAGTGTGCCCAGGCTTCTACCTTGGATGACTGGGCTGAAGATGGGATGGCTCACTCGCCAAGGAGAATAAGTGGAGGAGTTCTGCCAACCAAAAAAGGTAAAAAAGAGGGAATATAGAAATGCACATACTTTTACCCTGACAGGCTATTACATAGCAAATGTGAATTTGCTAAAATAGTTAGCAATTTTGCATTTATTTTTTTCAAGGTAGGTTAGAATGATGCATTTATTAGAGTTACAGCACTACTGGAAAACTTCTAGAATGCTAAGTACTCCAAAAAGAATGATCATTGGAGAGTGGCACAAGGAAGAACTAGGGGATTTAATAAGGTGGAAGTGTCTGGAGAAAGGTAGATGACACTAATCCAAAAAGCCTTGGAGGTGACATTAGCATTGTAAGCTGAGCACTATTTGGAGAACAGCCTTGGCTGCTGTCAGTGTCCTAGATATGGGCTCAGAGAGGCTGACCTGAGCAAGACACACACACACACACACACACACACACACACACACACACACACAAATTGTATAGACTTACTCAGCTGGAAATATGATAATCTGATCACCTTTCTGGTGATCAGAAATCTTCCATTCTATCATCCAGGGCACCTGAACACCTTGGAAGTTGATTAGTAATCAGAAAATTTCATGCTAAGCATGGAATCTGAATAAACGGAGACAGCTTTCAGGAACAACTTGCCATGACCTTGGTGGAGCCTGGTAATTCATCTCTGTCCCGTCTCTCTACTGATCAAAGTTTACCTCTGCTAGCCTCTTTTTCTGTCCTAAGTCCTATGTTCTTGGCCTAAGTCTGACCAAACCTTCTTCAACTGACATACTTTTTCTTTATATGTACGCTAATACAATCAATCACCTGTTTTAAACTCTTTTTTTTTTTCCAAACACACTTGACAACCAGGACTCTCTTTTGTCACCCTTCTACTTAGTGATTCTCAAAATAAAAGCTGGGGAGCTACCGGCTTCTGGGCTCCACTGCAGTGCTCTAGCTGTAGCCTTTCCTTTCTCTCTAATAAATCTTACTTCACATACAAAAAAAAAAAGCTGGAATAACATATACCAGAATTTGGGCTGTATACGTTAAAAAAAAAAAAACTCCCCTCATTAGCTCACGGCTGAATCTAACAACACATGCTAAGCCCTTAAGCCTGAAAGCCATGCAGTCTCTTTAAGTAGATTTCTGTTCTTTTAGGCCCTGGACTTAAGTATTCACTCTCAGAATGCACTCTTAAAGTTTCTGAGGAGAGCTAGCTTTCCTATACTCCCATGTACTGGTGAGAGAGACAACTATTATCTTATTGAGAGAAAAATACCACAGAAAGTAAATTTTGATTCTGTATGCAGCTTGCCTATATTTTTAATCAGTAACTCTAAATCCAACAACATAGTAATATAAGTAGGAACATAAAAGAATTAATTGAGCTTTAATTAAAAAAAACTTTTGATTTGTAACCCTTATTACCACTGATGACCTTATATACGTGCCTTATTTTCTTAGTAATTCAATACAGAAAATAAAGTTTATCTTACACTTCACTGCATACTTATTATCTCAAGATAATCTACTATCCCTTTATGAATAGAGATGGTAAGAAAACTGAGTTAAAAGGCCAGGCACATGGCTCACACCAGTCTGGCTCACCTCCCATCTACTCAGGAGGTGGGGATTGGGAACACTGCAGTTTGAAGCAAAAAGGGTGTGGCTCAAGTAGAGAGCAGCTGCCTAATAAGCAAGGGGCCCCTGAATTCTAACCCCAGTCCCACAATCACACACACACACACAAATCAACAAAAACATTGAGTTAAATATACATAGAATTTAGAGTAAAGTCTTAGTCTGCAATAATATTTCTGCATTTTCTCCCCATCCTTTGCTTTTTTTCCCTTGAACAAAGAAAAATTTAAATATCATGTTAATTCAGGGTACTGATTATTGAGACTCTAAATCATTTAAATTCTGCCAAATTGAATCATTTAAAAATATTGAACATTTGCAACATGTATTATATAAACTGGCATATTTGGAGACAAAAGAGCATGGTTAATATTTTCTCTGACAGAGGTTTAGGACCAGACATTCCCAGACTACACTGAGTAAACAGAGACATCAACACTAACTCTGTTACTGGGTATATAACGACAAGGGAGACAGAAATGGTCCTTGTCCTCAAGGTGTTTATAGGTAAGCAAGGAAAATAGAAATAGAAGGACTGACTTCAGACATAAGAAGCAGCTTCAGTTAGGACAAGAGGTGTGAGTAGGAGAGTCACGAGTTCCAGGCAGGAACATCTGGAGACCTAATGCACACATAGAAAGAGAGAACGTTTAGGAAGAGGAGATATTGAGACATATGAGAGATGGCTGCAGTGGCGGGCTTGGGCCAGATGATGTGGTCCCTATATAAAATTTTAGATTTTTAATTCCAAGAGCAATTAGTATTAAACAAAAAACTAAAAATAAGTCTCCCTGATACCACAAAAAAAATTTACAAAAAATAATTCTCAGACTTATTTTTTTGTAAAATGTAACTTTGGCTATAGTCCTGTTCAAGGTTGGAAAAATTGTTTCTGTAAAGGGCCATATAGTAAATATAGGCTCTGTGAGCCATATGGTCTCTGTCACAAATACTCAACTGCGCTGCAGTAGTGTGAAAACAAACAAATGAGCATGGCTGTGTTCCAATAAAACTTTATTTATGGGTACCAAAATTAGAATTTCATATAATTGAAAAGTGTCATGAAATGTTATTTTTTGATTTTTTTTAAGCCATTTAAAATGTAAAACCATTTCTCATGTGCAGAACATACAAACACAGGAGGCGGGCCTGTCTGTTTGGCTGTGGTATGGGAGCTGCGCTGGCTTAAACTAAGCAAAATAGCTGAGGGGTGGGTGGGGAAGGGTCTGGGCCTTATCTTGAACCATGCCTGCACAGTTCATCACAAAAGACTGAGAAGCACCAATTGTATCAGAGACTGGTGCCGCGCCTGTTCTCTGGCCCCACAAATTCCAGGTTACTCCCCTCTGGCCCCACAAATTCCAGGTTACTCCATATGCTATGTAAAGCATTTCTCAGCTATGGGGGCCTCGAAAGTGTCCTGGGATTCCCTTTCTTCCTTCCGTTTCAGAGAGCTCTTCGCTTTTAAAGTACGGACCTCAGTTTTTCCCTGACTCATCTGTAAAACTGAACTTTATCACTTCCTTGGAGGTATTCGTTTTTGGGGTTTGTTTGTTTGGGTTTTTTTTGGCAGCACTGGGGTTTGAACCCAGGGCCTCACACTTGCTAGGCAGGTGCTTTGACTGCTTGAGCCACTCCACCAGCCTGAGGTATTTGTTTTTTATAAGAATGGA